AAAAGTATCAGGAGAACATGCGAATCAAAGGGATATTCACTGAAATATCAAATTGCTATTAAAATTTTTCTGCTCTCAAATCGTCTAATTTTGATATTCAATTAATTTTATCTCCTGACACTTGTCGGAATAATTAAATCTGGAGCACGAAGTTTATTTCATTTATTTAATTTATTTATTCATTTTTGTTTCAGCCTTCGATGGAGTCCCTGGTGCCGACGAGATACGGCAGTTTGGACTCTCTCCACGAGGTCCACATGTCCCACACATCACCATCACCATCTCACCACACTCGGGGAATCCCCGGCGACATCTCCGATGACGGTGAGTACTGTATTTCAATCAAAAAATATTCAATGTGTTGCTTCAAACAATCGAGACTGGGAAAAATCTCGATTGATTTTCGATAAAAATTCATGAATCTGGAGTTATCGAATCGATTTCAAGCTCCAACAGCATGAACTCACTGTATCTATCGTTTATGCCCCTCAATATATTTTTATCAATTAATCACTGCCCCGTATGTTTGATTCAACATAATCCAGTGGTCTAATCTAATCTCTTCAAATGTCAAATTCATTTTGTGTGTTTTCTCCTTTTTTTTCTTCTCTTTGATATTCGCTTCTGACGGTCGGTGAGTCTAGCTGGATCTTGTTTCCTTCACTGGACACAGAAGATTCTGACTATTAACAGAAAGCTTGCTAGGTACCCCTATTACATTAATCATTAATTCATTTTAATAATCTATGGAATCGTAGTCAAGTGCCAGGAGGAGATGAATTCGTCTAAACTCTTACTGAAAAAAATTATTAATAGCGATTTCGTCTTACTGTTATTTCAACTCATCTCCTTCTTCACAACTACACCATAATTCTCCTCAAAAAAATTCACCAGGATAATTAATCTCAATAATTCATCACTCGATATGCGTCACAGATTCAAAGCATGGTTAATAAATTTTAATCATGAATATCATTTTTCATACCGAACGTAAACGAGAAAAGACGCTCAGCTCATAAGCAATAAAGTATCATCTAAAATTAGTTCGAGCGTCTCTTCCCCTAGTGATCATCCATCATCCTCGAATATTATTTACCTTCTAGCACGTTAGAATGATATTAAGAAGAGAAAATATGAAAATAGAATTTAGACTGAAATTTCAATCACGACAAAATCGTCCGGTCTTTTGAGTTAAATCAGGCGAATAAATAGGTATAGAATGAGCTTAAAATTCAGTTCGCTTGATCCACACGTTTGCACATACCGTCGGTTTTCCCACGTTTCCATCGGTATACCACGGATCAATGTGTGGGCACGTTTGTTACGATAATAACTTAATTCATCAGTTTTATGAAGGGGAATACCCATCGTCTCGATGATAAATCATTGTCTTGCATTGGCTGCCTGAATTCACTGCCTGCATTGATGCCTGCTGCTCCATCAACTTCACAGATTAACAGAAATATATCAGTACCAATCGAAATTTCGTAATTCGATTTGATAGCTGATGATTTGGATGACCTGCGAATAAAAAAAAATTGTCCGTTAATCTGTGATGGGGAATCGGGAGATGATTAAAGGCTGCCGCTTATTTATTTATAATTTTTTTTAACTCTCTCAACTGACTAAAACCATTGAACTGAGATTAATTAGAAATGACGATTCGATATAAATTGGAACGCGTAGGCACACAGCAACACCGAGTTTTTGGTGCTACATATCGTCCCATCTACACGGTACTGCAGGCGCCAGTTGCGCCTCCACGAAGACACCGGCCCCACATTCACCCCAACCACCCTGTACCGTCACCGACCCTACCTCTTCTTCAGCAGCATCATCCTCATCATCAAAACCACAGTACCAAGAGCAAGGGGTGTCCGGGGCCGGAACGCCCACCACCAAGACTTTAAACAAATTTCTCAGAGGTAAATCGGACCTCCGGAAACCGAGCTAAAGTCGTTGTCACATTTTTTTTCCTTCGTTTGTTATTTATTTGAATTTTTTCAATCGTTTGACTATAAACTGGAAGATATACTCTTTCAAAAGTGTTCGTTCGGTGTCCAATCGTAACGAGCTGACGTCAGAGCTCTGGAGAATGGCTTCTATATTTTTTTTTCTCATGATATCAATCTTTTTTTGCTTTGTTAATTTTTCCCCTGGCATCACACATTTGATTTGTCGAAATCTCTTCTTTTTTTTCCCTGCATCAAAAATTCCTATTTTCGCTTGTCCTCAACCGCTTGTTCGCAAAAAAAAATAACGGCAAACCAGAGATTTATATCCGGATGGGATATTTCGAACTCGTTCTTCTCAATTTTTTTTTCAAATTCTATTTTTGCAATGCTGAGGAATTCAATTTTTTCACCCCCTTTTGAATTGTCATGCCGCACGACTATTATTTTCACTAAAGACTAAAGGAGATAAACCGAGAGTGGATTCAATAGACAACACAATAGACCGTTTGCGAAGCTAACACAAACACTGGAATCACATACACATTGAATACTCAATGCGATTTCCGTTTAACTGGGCTATTGAGACAGTACAAGTTGTCGCTCAGTGCTTTCAGATGCTTTGTTTTTTTTTTTAAATCTTTAGTTTACAATTGTCAATGGACACCAGCTGCCTCTGTTTACATCGATGTTGTCTATTTTAGTTTTTCTCCGTATTTTTTTAAATCATTTGTTTATTCCATTGAAATGGTTTTCTAACGTTGCAGGAATGCGTTTTACACGAGAATGAAGACATATCAATGGCTCCTCTAACACTGGCCTATTTTTTATTCCACTACTGGAGTTTTGAATGAGACTTTCCATCAGAATAATGTGCAATGAGTTTTATTTCACTTTGAAGGATAATCAAGGCTCAAGTATTCCGTAAATTCCGTAAATGGATTGACGATGGAAAAATATCATGCAATTCTCTTGCTGATGGATTAATTATTATTTGGATATTTTGTTTTTTTTAGAATGTCTGTAGCTGAGTGGAGAAAAATAATAAGACGAGCTTTGAGTGTGAAGTTTACCAGTGGTGCTTATTAATTAATCAATCCACGAATGCTTAATCATCTCCGTTGTGATTTCAGGGAGCGATTTACTGACCAGCCTCACGTCGACGTTCGATCGTAAATGGAAGTCGCTTGTTAATCCCTCGAGTCTCGTGGTGGCATCGAGTGAGTGCACCAGTGGAGAAACATCAGCTGTGGAGAAGAAGAGTAATCGAGAGAAGGTGGATCGTCAGGATTCGAGGACAACCGAGGTATACAGAGATCCAAGTCTTCACAGGAGTGTTGGGGAGAAGGGACATCTCATGCGTGCGAGAAGTGTAAGAGAATTAATTCTCCATCTCGTCATTGGATCGGTCAATAAAATTTCGTTTTGATTATTATTATTGCAGGATCCACAAGAGAAACTCCAGAGTTCCCCCCTCCTGAAGCCCTCGGAGAAACCAAAACGTGAGCCCCCAACCCCGAACAACGACTTGAACTTGCGTCATGCAGTGGACACGAGTACAGCCGGAACGGATTCCTCGGACGGTGGATCTCTGCTGGACGCCACCGAGAAGGACGAGCATCCAAAAATGGAAACACCGAAGACGAAGCATCTGGAGATAAAAGACGAAGTGCCTGGACCCCCCAGTGATTCAAACCAGCCCCAGGAGACGGAGAGAAAATCCCTGGACTCCTCGTACTCGAACAAACTCCAGAAGTTCGAGAGTCTCAGTCAGGCGACCAACGAGTCGAGATCACGGCTGAAGAGGTCAGAGTCCCTGAACAAGAGGACTGAGACTGCCTCGTCGAAATTAAAACGTTCAGAGAGCCTGAATAAGCACTCTGACAGGCTTGCATCACCGACTAATGGAAAGCTCAAGCGTTCAGAAAGCCTGAACAAGCATGCCGAGCGCTCAGAGTCTCCCAACACCAAATTAAAACGCTCAGAATCCCTGACGAAGACGGAAAAAACTGAGTGCAACATCAGCAAGAGGAGGCAGTCAGTGAGAAAGGAGAGTGCAACGAAATTGAAACGAAAAAATGGTATGCCCGAGAGATCAATAAAGAGGCGTCACACTGTAGGGGGTACGAAAGACTTTGACAAAGTCCACTGGCTCGACAATAAACTCCAGTCGGAGAATGAAAAGGTCATTAAGACCGACAGCAAACCGAAGAAAAGCCAATTGAGAACTAGTTCACCTGATTTGAGCAGCAACAGGGTTAATGTAGCTGATACCAGCTTTCTCATTGAAGTATCTTTTCGTGGACCCAGCAATGTTGTGTTCAATGTAACCAACGCACGACCACAATCTCTGCCAGATGCAAATCTAGCATCGAAAGTGTTTAAAGTACCTCTTGAGAGTCATGTGTAATTCATTGTGGGAGGTGAAATTTTATTGGATTATTCGTTTGGGACTAATCATTCAATCATATCTCAATCAATATCAAGCTTTCCAGGTATAGAGAGATGTATTTATTAAATCGTCTATTATCGAGGGTGAAAGAGAGCCAAGTGCTCACTCGTGAAAGTTATGAATCATTACCAAATTATTTTTGGTATAATGTTTTCAACGTGTCAATTATATACACATCATTTACTTGTGAATTGTCAATGTGCAATTTATCATACCTGGTTTCATTTCTCTTTTACAATCATTTCTTGGTGTAAATATAGAGTAATTTTTTTCAGCAATTCAGTGGATTATTTGTCGGTTATAATGTTTTTTTAATGATTTTACAAGTGTAGGGAATTTTAATGATTGTGGTAGGTTTTTTAGGGGTAAGTTGTGGATTCCCATTGCCTTTTAATGTTCAAATGGAGAAGAATTTTGGTGGTGAGTGCAATTGGAGGTGGATCCGTGAAAAATTGTAAATAATCGTGTAAAATTGTCGAATAATTGGAGGTGAATTTGTGAGAGGCTCGACATCATTTTCCGCAATTCGATATTTCTGTTATTTTCACCGGTGAAAATATTATGAGAGAAACGATGTGATAAATTCGTAACGTGTGAGAAGTAACGAGTTTCGGGTTATCAGATGATTCTTCTGATATCGTTAATGGTGCGATTCCATTGAAAAGTCGTTAATTATTGATTAGTATTGATGGAGGATTGACGGAACTGGAGCAATCGTAATTGAGAGAATAAAGTATATATTTTTAAGGAATAATTGTAATGACCGATCATCGAAAAATTGCGACCAATGTATGATAATTCCTCGACTCATTAATTTAGATAGATTGAGAGCATCTCGAAGATTAATAAGATGTAATGAACCCTGAGATATCCTTTTGTCTTGCCAAATTTTATGAGAATAAAAGTGAAATTTAAGGATTTAAAGTTTTTACTGTAATTATCTCGCTGTACGGAAGAATAATGTATTCTGTCTTCATTTTTTTTTTGATAAATTGAAAAATTGTAAATAATGAATTTAAGTCTTACTACGATCAAATCATTGTAATGAGGCTATTTATTTGATTATTAATTATGGTACATGAAATATTAATTGTGATTGTATTATTTATTCACCGCAGCTTATGCCTGTTATCCTGAATTTATCATGTACACGTTGGACGGAAAATATTACGTTTGTAAATAAATATCTTACTATGAACAGATTAACATTGTTCTCGTTTGTTGTTCTCGTTTTCCAAAAAGACCACAACGCCTCCATCGAGCCCTCATTGAACTTCATTCTGATAAAATTACATCTGAAGTTGTAAATAAGCTTCAGTACAACAAAGAACTTCAACATAATAAGACGAACTCCATTGTTCATCCAGAGAGTACCTCAATAAACAATTTACCCAGCCTCCTCAAAGATGAATGTAATCAGCCAGGAGAATTCCCTGGGGATGGTACGAACCCGAGATCGAGGCAGAAATGGTGGAAAAATCGGAAAAATAGCTAAAGACAAGGCCCCAATCAGTCTCATTCCAAAACATCGAATCCCAGAATATCAAAAGCCCCTCGTCAATATGGGACCCTCAATTGCCCTGAAGGCCCCCAGGATACCACGGAAATCGAACAATTTTTCCCAAGTGAACACCTCGAGCTCAAATTCAACCAGAAGAGGTACTCCCCAATTTTTATCAACAGACACAAGCAGCGTCACACCATCAGAGAGTGCCTACGGTGACAATCACTTTGTAATCGTGGCTGTGACCTCAGGTCGTGGCCAGGCCAGAGGAGAAGTGGGAATAGCAGCCATTGACCTCGAATATCCCCACATAATCCTGTGTCAAATGAGTGATGACAACTCGTACGTCAACGCCTTAACGAAAATTAATATATTTCGACCTGTCGAGATCCTCATACCAGACACCATGGGGAAGGACCAGAAAGACCCCAACAGCCTCTACACAGCGATAAGGGCGTGTTTCCCCACCACCGAGATAACCGAGATCTCCAGGATCCACTGGAACGCGGGGTCAGGTCTCGAGAGGATCCAGACGCACAGCGTAGAGAAGTTCTCGTCGATCGAGTTGATTGTCAGGCCCAAGTACTACGCCCTCTCCGCGGTGTGCACCCTCTTCAAGTACATCGAGAGTATACAGCATACAATCTACACCGAGCGGTCTGTTCGTTTCGAGTACCAGGTGGCTGAGAACGCGACAATAATCGATCTCCAGAGTGCACAGGATCTGGAGCTGGTTACAAGCAATGGGAACAGATCGAATTTCTGCCTCCTGGGGGCAATTGATCGGTGCTCGACCCCAGCTGGAAGGAGACTCCTCAGGGCCTCCATCCTTCAGCCCCCCAAGGACATCTCCATCATGGAAAAACGTCTCGATTGCGTCAGCGAACTCATCTCCAATAAATCCCTCTACTCGATCATTCACTCTGTCGTCAGGAAACTCTACGGGGTGCATCGTCTTCTCAATTTTTCGGTTCAGCATCCTAAAGGGGAAACCGTTGTTTGCGCCGAGAGGTGTCTCAACTACGCGCTTCTCTTAAAACACACTTTGGAGATTGTCCCAGAGCTCAAGGCTGCCCTCGACACCACGATCTCCTCGTTTTTTCGAGGAGTCCTCGAGGACCTGCAGCACGAGGACTTCGAGATCATGAAGAATGATGTCCTGAGGTTCATGAGCCCCGACGCTAGGTCGGTCAAGGGCTTCACCTCTTCGACTTACAACCGGTGTTTTGCCATCAAATTTGGCATTTGCGATACTTTAGATGTCGTCAGGAAAACTTACTGCGAGCTGATCGACGACATGGAGAAGATGGTCGAGGAAATCGGTAGGACACATAATCTTGGACTTTACCTCGCGTGCTCTTCGACTTTGGGGTATCACATGGAGATGAAGGTGCCGAGATACTACAAATTTGACGTTACAAAACTCCCCAAAGAGCTGATCGAGGCTCACGTTAAAGGAGGAATTGCCTACATGACAACTGAAGATCTCTTCGTGAAGAATCTGCACTGCAAGGACAACTGTGACGAGATTCATCGGATCAGTACGATTGTCTTGGGTAAAATGTTCGACAGGATAAGAGAACGGATGAGCTGTCTCTTTCATTTCAACGACAACATCGCCGAATTGGACTTAATCCTGTCCCTCGCTACCGTCAGCTCAATCTCCGGATTCGTGAGACCGACATTCGGGTCTAGAATCGACGTGAGGGATGGCAAACACCCGGTGTTGGATATCCTGGGGGACGAGAGTCCCAAGCCCAACGACATCGTCGCATCGACTGTCTACAATTTCCACACAATTGCTGGACCCAACATGGGAGGGAAGAGCGTCTACCTGAAGCAGATTGTTCTGCTGCAGATCATGGCCCAGATCGGGTGCTACGTACCCGCCACTGCAGCCAAGTTCAGGATTTCTGATCATATCTTCTGTAAAATGGGTGTGAGGGATGATATCGTGTTCAATTCGTCGACATTCATGATGGAAATGAAAGAGGCGCAATACATTCTACAATCCCTCACACCAACGTCTCTGGTAATTCTCGACGAGCTCTGCAGGAGTACGACAGTCGAAGAGGGTGCGTCAATAGCCTGGGCAATCTCCAAGAAGCTGCTGCTCTCTAAAGCCTTCACCTTCAGTGCAACGCACTTCGAGTACCTCCTGAAAATGGCTGAGCTATACCCCAACGTGACGAATCACTACTTGGAGGCAATCCTCAGAGAGAATGGTAGTCTCATCTACACGCACCAGTTGAAACAGGGAGTCCAGAGGATCCAGAATTACGGTCTGATCCTGGCGCGATCGACAGGACTCCCCGAAGACGTTCTGGCAGATGCCGATCGCATTCTGCGACAAATCGAGGAGTCAATGGATTCGAATCCACCTTCCGCAGCTCCTGAGGAGCCAAATGCGCTCACTGACTCCAAAATCAAACGAAATTACGACAGGTTGGCTGAGGTGTTCAGCAAACTTGAGGAGAACCACGAAGTTCCGGACGAGGAGATTTACGATTTGATTCGAGGGCTTGAATCCATCAGCTACGATGATCTCCCCCCAGAGGATGCAAATTCTTGCCCTCAGGGGGATAATTCAAGTAGTGAAACGTCAGGATTGTATAGTGCAGGTCCCAAGGACTCGACGACTTCGCGAAGCCTCAGTCAGTCTGAAACACCAGCGGGAACTTCGTCTAACCGGACGTCCGCAAATTCTGTTTCTCAGACGAGGAAAAATACCAAGAGACACGTGACGTTCTCTCCAGCATTGGAGTTAAAGCCTCCAAAAGCTAAAATTTCAAAGCTCCAGGGGTTCACAACTTCCAGCCCATCCACCAGACAACCTCTGGCGACGATGAATCCACCTCCAGATGTTAATTCACCCTTCAAAGTCCCTCAGAAACCAATCCTGAAGAAGTGCTTGACCGAAGACCCAGAGTCGCCTTTCTTCATTCCGAGGAGTCAGCAAAGCGGTAAAACACTGTACATGAGCTCCTCAAGCCAGAACTCCTCTGGGAGTTTTGTCGAGCCATTGAGAAAGGATGGTCAACAAGACAATCTTCGTAAACTCCAATCCCTGACGGCCAGACGGGGTGGAGTGGTCAAGAAGAAGAGCAGTTTGATGGATATGATGCCGAAAAATGTCCACCATTTATTTCCTTCGATGAGAGCTTCTCTGCAAGGATCCAGGAACTTGGCGATGAGCAGTCAACCAGTGCCGCAGACATCATACAGTCCAGATGTAATTGCCTCACTGCCAAAATCCCTGAGGCCCGTGGGGGATGACACCTTCTTCCCTCCGGAATTCAGCCACCTGAGGCATCTGGCTAAGAACATCTACGACGAAGACGAAGGCGATCCTCGGTTGCTCAATCAGTATTACTTCATGTCGAAGACTGTAAAGAGAACCCCAGGGAGCAGCACCAATGAGTCGGAGGGAATGGAAAGAATCACATCTCCTTCATTCACTAATTTCTCTCCAGTCTTCAATGATGAGGCGGGGGCGGATGATGCTGGGAGGTTTGCGATGGGGAATACCCTGCAGGATCCCATAGATCCTGGTGTAATGATTGTCTTGACTAGTGAGAGCGAGGAAGACGAGGACAATTGCTCGATGAGCTCCATCGAGGCCAGGATTGCTGTTACTAAAAAAGAAGCTGCGATCTTCAGGCAAATCGAGGGAAATAATTTTGATGAAACCAAGTTCCTCGAGGATCTCCAGAAGCATTTGCAGTAGACGAGAGAGGCGTATCTCAACGATTTTTATTAATCCCATCATTCCCAATTATTTCCAGTCATTATCATTTTTTTTACTACCCACGGAGTATTACAGGAATTGATATCTCCATAATTGAATAAAATTCTCGACACGTCCATTTTATTAATAATTATGAAATTGTTGTATATTGTGGGCGATTGATTGTAATCAGGATGTGATGAGAATAAAAAATTTGATATCACATTCTTTCGGTATTTTGCTTACGAGCACAAGCTTTGTAATCGATCAAATTTAAGTTTCATATTTTTTGCCGGGAACGTGAAATGCGCATGCGCAGAGTAATTAGGTCACAGTAAATAAAAATTAGTAGCACTGGTCGTTCATTCAGAACGCACCTGTAGGTTATACCTGACGATTTGGCATAATTCATTATAATTATTTCTTCCAGGTGTATAAATTATTCCAAAACTCCAATTATCACTTCAATTATCCTCTAACTCTTCAGTAATGAGTGAACTGTGGTGTTACTATCCGAAAAAAGTGAATAGAATGACCGAGGTGAGTCTCGAGTGCTTGTCACGATCATGTGTAAAATAAAACATTCAAACTCCAGTAAATAAAATCATCATTAGGTTATCAACTCGGAATTTCGAGAATTTCCACGTGAACTAACCACAACGATGGCTAATCAAATGGACCTAACGAGAGGAACTACATCGATTCGGCCACGAATGCACAATTGATTACTTTGAAAAAAAAAAACTTTTCTATCATTAGTGTAAATAAACAAAAGATGCTGACTAGGCAATCGCCACCTGCAGAGACAGTGTCTCTAGCTGTTGACGCTATAACTCTAGGATTTGTCATCTCAGAAGATGGGAGAGCAGTTTTGGCAGTAACAGGTAAGTCATCACCGGGAAAAAAAAATTATTTCCATGAATTGTCATATTTGTAAAACCATTGAAACACGTGTAGAACTGTCAGATTAATTCAATCCAAGTGCAGGATAAATCGTGGATTTATATTTATAATTATACTGATGCAATCAGTAAAAAAATTGAGACCAGTAAAATGATTGACAGGAGCTGAAGAAGGCACGTTGGAGCTGTTGACAACCCCAGTGTCTCTTGTACAGACTGGGACTGTTCTGTCCCCAACGTCATTGAAGGTAAACAATGGGAATGCAGGAAACTCCCAATTGTTTCAAATTAACCTTGAAAGTCTCGTCGACGGTGGCAGTATTCAGCAGACTGCATTACTACCCCAGAATCATGGGAATTCAAGTTTGGAGGGGAGAACTGCAGTCAGGAATGATCAGCAAATTATCGAGATTATTCCCAGTGAATCTAGTGATATAGTTAAGAGTGTTACTGTTGTACCTGAGAGGCAGAAAAAGGGGCCTGGAAGACCCAGAAAAAATCCCAATGCCTCTGATGCTGTGAGTGCTCACATCTCAATTAATCAATCACTAATAATGCACAATTTGACTTGTTAAATTCACGTGCCACTTGAATTACTTTTTATCTCAGAAGAACGAGCTTAAGTGTGAAATCTGCGGAGAAGAATTCAAGAGACAAATGCTTTATAGAAAACACATGGAGCATCATGCTGAGGAGAAGCCTCATCGTTGCCCCAAGTGTCCTGCATCGTTCAACATACCGGTGAGACTTATTTATACCTCAATTTATGTTATACTTATAGGCAATACGACACAGTCTGATAACTCGGTTCAACGAATCACTTTGCAGCTGAATTTCACGCTTCACATGGCGATGCATAACACGGGTGAGCCAAAATGTCCGGAGTGCGGAAGAAAATTTGCCAGAATGGCCAGTCTCAAGGCTCATATTATCGTACATGAAAAGGAGGAGAATTTATTCTGCACTGAGTGTGAAGATTCATTTTCCACAAAGGTCTGTCCATCCACATTTTTATTCAAAGACAAAAGAAAATAAAATCCCTCATTTTTTTTTTACTTCCGCCTAAAATTCGGACATATCGATTATAAATTGGCGTCGAAAAAAATGGAGAAATCCTAATTTATCACTTCAATAGTAAGTTGTCAATGAAAATAATAAAAAAATGTTCGTCAACCGAATGGAATTACCATAAACCTCAACCCCGATAAAAGAAATGATTCCACAAGGAAAAGTACTCAGTGCAGTGATTCATAAAGAGACATTCACTAAAATTCTCGGTTGACTGGTAAAAAAAAGACATTTCATTACCCTGGGCGATTGCACTTTAAGTGGAAACTCTTCCGGTGTTCAGAGTACTCACTCCTTATCACAGCTGGCCTTCTTGTGTCATCTCGATCTCGTAACACTCGGTAGATTAAAATTTTTAGTATTTTTGACACAAATTACAATGAGAGGACTAGTGGGACAGTTTGGGCAAGGGTCAGCCTCCTTGACCCCGTTACTCCTCTTATCAATTATTGTTACTGAGTATTCCACGATTAGACCATGTACTAATATTTCTATAAAGCTATTTTGGCCGACTCCATCGCGCTGGAGATATCAGGAAGTTTAACATACAGGAGAAGAAAACAATTTTAATTATTAAAAAATGAAGTCACGAGTTGATATTAAAAAATTTTTTCTGATAATAAACACCTACAGATCTCGTCTCCCACGACTAAACTCTTTCCCTCATTCCTTATAATATTGAATTGCAAATTAATCGGTACGATTTCGTCGGCGTTTGATCATCGATTTGCAATTTCGATTTATCGCACTTTAGCATTTCGCGCTTGTGTGATTCCCTGGTGATTCCGGAGGACAACGTAGAAGTTCATTCTCCCATTGAAGGACGTGGGCTGTTAACCATTGATAGTAGGCGGCAAAATACTTGACAAGATCTCAAATACACACGTGTTACGCAACTGAATCGCATGATCTCATAGATCTCACAGAGATTGCTGTGACAAGTGCACTTTGTCGTGTTTAAATGCAACGAGAGAGACGCACTTGATAATTTTCTCTCAAAAATTTTCCCATTCCTCGTGGCCCTGAAAAAATAAAGGAAAATTTTTCGTAAACGTGCCCCCCTGGGGGAGCTTTCCGGGTATTCGAAATAAATATTTATCACTCGACAACCGAAACTGCTGGAGTGTTCGAACACATGTGTTCCTTTGAGAAATCTGTCGAGAGACCGACGAGGAGACCCTCCTCCCCCACTTTAGGGAACATTTCAACGAAATTCGTCGGCAAGAATTCATGGGATGAGGGAATCCGGGAAGAACTGAGAGTTGCCCTGCGTTCTAGAATTATTCTTCGGGTGGAGCAATACTATTGAAGAAATCTTTACGAACTGTGTGATGTCATGACAGCCATAAAGATCAGAAATAGAAGGCCCCGATTGCCCGAGAGGAAATTACCGTCAGCTTTTCCCCACTCATTTTCATTTTTTCCCAATTAAATTGTCGACTTAATTTTCAAGTTATTCATTACTAAATTACGGAAATTCTTCCGAGGAGATAATTTTCCCGACTCGAGAAATAAATTCCCGAGTCGATTCGAAAAATTGAGTCTCGTAAAAATGGGAAATTGCAATATCCAATCTAATTATCGCTCTCAATTAATTAGAATGGCGCGATATAATTCCCAGGAATTGTGATGTATGTCAGTCCGAAGATGCGTGGGCATTCAATTATTATCCTCCAGCATATGCATAGACATCTGCACACCCTCAACTGACAATTCCTACATGTCGCTAAATAATCCACGAGTGTCTCGTCATTCGCGAGTTCTCTGCGTAATAGTGGAGACGTTGCCAATGAGATAATAATCCCCCCTCGGGATGAAAATGAAAAAAAAAAGTATTTCAAGAAGGAGAGGACTGAGGGAGTAGGAAATCCCGAGCTGTGCGTGGGGATGTGGATGAATGTAGTTTTGCCTGGTGGTAGTGGGATACGGGATAGCTTGGGGCACGCACGTGCTCTCCGAGAAATTGACAGTTCCCTCATGTTCATTAAAACTCAAAAACTTTATTTAACACTTTAATTTTTTAAATCCCCGATTCCACCGAAAAATTTTGTGTTCAATTGTGTTCAAATCTGTGTGTTCAGTGAGTGCGTTGGAATTATTCGAAATTCGTGAGATCTTCGTTAAATCATTAATTCTTAATTAATCCAATGCCCTAAGGGTAATAAATATAAATAAACAAATAAATCTATCTAGCTCATGCCCAAGTTTTTGTCGAATATCTCTGGATCCGCGATGGATAGTGAATTTTTCGTGAAAACCTTTTCCGCAGATCTGATTTCGGTCTGTAAAAGATGTTCTAATAAAAATTTCGTTATCGCTCTTAGATTCCGAGATATTCATCGAAAATCGCGGTAGGAAACGAAGCGACTTCCAGTTTATATCTGCTATTGAATTCTTAATTAGTTAGTAATTTGTGGTAATTAATTGGTGGGTAATTGGAGGTTTATTGATGAATTAAACAGTTCAGGGGCGGTGGGTTATCAGCGTCGAATTTTCTTGTTTGCTCGTTTCGAATTATTGGAGTGGATTGGAGTGGATTTCTTTGCCGGGTCCCAGAATATATTCAGTATTTATAGAATGGAGATGATAGGCACATCAGTGGATGAACAATGCAGGCGTCCGTTTGGATTTTATCGTTGTTCTTTCTTCCTGAGGATGGAGTACAGCTGAGTATCTCTTTACTGGCAATCCGCTCCTGGGGATGAACCCCTCATTTACCGCACCTCTCACACATGAAATTATCGCGAGGTATCGAATTTCTTCGGGAGAATATCGAAATTGATATAATCGAATTGAAATTGCTCGAGTTTAAGATTTTTCTTCTCAATCCGTCTCAAGAAATTATGAAAATTAAAAAATTGAGTCTTGAGGTGCGACATAAATATTGAATTGAAGATTTGAGGGGTGATAATCGAATTTAATCTCTGAATCGAGAACGGGCGATTACACGGGGTCAAAAGCGCAGAACTGGTTTTTTGAGAGTGCCTTCTCTTGATGTCCATTTTGCTGGTCAGATATTCGCTGACGTAATGCATGAGGTGGTTTTGATCCCTCCAGGACCTCCTCCGCCGAATGTCTCGGTCCTTTTATTTTTCCTGGGCCTCAAGTCCATCGGCCAGTCCCCTGGACACCTCTATCTCCATCTGTCATGTCACGTCGTGCTCAATATCTTTTTTCTGGATGTAAAAAGAATCGGAAAATTATGGAGTGCTCGTCGGGGAATGCCAAGTACTTCTGACCCTTTAACGCCGCGTTATTCTGCGACACGTTTTCTTATCGCTGCGGCCTGTCAAACCACTGAGAATTTTTCACTGTAACTCCATTGTTTATTCAAATGGGCTATCGGTTTCTATGGGTTAAGGAGAGATTTCCCATCTGCGTCTGGAAAAATTCTATTTTTCTCCGTGAAAACAATAAAATTTTACGGCTTCTTCAAGCGACACGCGATTTAGAACAAATTTAGTAGCGATGTGGTAAAGTGAGGAGTTTTTTATATTTCCCTCTGGTTTTTATGTTTTAAATAAATTCGCTCGAGAATTTATCGCTCTGAGAATTAACACGTGGCGAAAAACCCCAACGATATTTTTTTATTTCCATTTCCCAGCGGTGATTCTCACTCCCGGCGAAAGTCTTCGAGATGAAAAAAATAATATAAATAAAAATGCGAATGATCGTCTCCTTTTAAAGGCATCTCGGGTGCATAACCCGGAGTTCCACCAATATTGCCACAAGGTTGACGTAATCCATGAGTAGAGTCGGTGAAAAATTATTGCGTACCGAGTCGTACGCGGACAATAATCGGTACTCCGGATCGAGACTCGTTAGAGGCGGAATTCCATGAAATTACACCCGGGGTTAATGCCACCTCGAATTCTATCAGAGACGAGAAAAACAGAATGCCAAGGGTGGGGAAGAATAATGATTCAATTAAAAATTCAATCATTTCTTTCATTTCACGATAAAAAAAGCGCAAATAGTTTCGCGGGGAGTTCATTGAATCGAGGCACAACATCAATTGAATAATTAATCAATTAACCCATTGATTAGTTCTTAAAATACATTGTAATGAATTCAAACAAGGCGCTCACACCACGAGAGATCGTATTATTCATTTTTACATTTTTTTCACGTGTTGAAATCCTGGGAAAAATAAATTTAAGGGCATAATTTATAAAAAGAGTTCATTGCTCTCGTTAAATCGTTTGTGAATGCCGGGTTGACTCAAAAGAGCCTATCATCCTGGCAGTTAGGACCGTCATTATCGTCTGGACCCCAACTCTTGGTATCGATAACGTGGGCCCATCTCACTTCACCCCTCCCCGATTTTTTTTCGATAAAATAACTCAATTTGGGAGAAATAATCTCATAAAAACGCGTCTAGTCTACAATTCTGTGACTGAAATTTCAAATAATTTTTTTCGTCAAATCCAGAATTTCCCAGAAATTGAAAAAAAAAAAATCGTGAAAAATGAGAAGAAATCATGTCTTTGGGGCCCTTGTCCCCGGAATTTCGCGTAGAACTCGAGGGAATGCAGATTTCTATCGCGATTCTCCTTTCTGCTTCGCTCGTATAATTTTTTTATCACTCGCATTTCGTACCGCTGACAAATTGACAATTGATCTGCGTTATTAAGCCCAGATGCACTCGATGCGAGAACAATTATTGTTCGAGAGAATAGAGTCCATAGATTTTTTAACACGGAAAAATCCCACACGTTCAGATTAATCGGATGTCACTTCCGGAAGAGATGCTGATAACCCTGTGGCCCCTATCCAAATTATCCCAGAGAGTGGACAGAGTTCAGAGGGAAAACATAAAAAAATTGCCGATTAAAAATGTCGCACGTCAATATTTTTAAGGTGATGGAAAACTGCGCGATTCGTCAATAAAAAAATTATCCATCAATGAATAAAAGAGAGTAGTGAAAAAAAAATAAATAAAAATAAGCGTGAAGAGGAATGATTATTCGCAGTGTCAGATGACAATTGCTTGCTTGGATTTGACGAGGACTTACAAAGTGGTAATGATGCTGGCCAGAAATACCAAGAGTGCAGGAGTAAACGAATTTCTCTCAATGAAAAAACGAACCCGCAATTCCTGATGTAATCAAGTGCAATGGACCTGCAACTGAGATCAAAATAATTGTAATAAAAGTGCTGTGTTCAACGTAGCCGAAAGTGTTCAACGAAAAGCGTTTATATGATTTTATTAAAAGACTTCCGTCGTGTACGATGACGCTCGCCGTCGACTGCGTTAATTTTGCGCTTTTACTCATATGTTCCCGTGTTTTTCATTTTGCATTAGGCCTGAGTGCTCAATATTACAAGGTATTGTAGTTAAATATAGAAATAAATTGCTTTGAAATTCAGCAGCGAGCAGCTAAAGCCGATAATAACTAGAAACCAGTCTCAATAAATGCATTAAACTTGAGTTAAATAACTCGAAAAATTAGTCTTTGAATATTTTATTATTAAAATGCAGTTTATGCAGTTTATGCAGTTTTGAGTTTCAATAGAATTTATTTGATGATTTTATTTATGCTCTAGGCACAACTCGATGCCCATTTGAAGCTTCACAATGAGAAATGGTCATCGGAGGATGTCAGAAAGTGCAAACTCTGCAACAAACAATTCACTCAACCCGCTCTTTATCGTCTCCACATCCGAGAGCACTACAGGGTGAGCACTCCTCATATTCCAACCGAGAATGAATGAAATCGCCGGAGTCGAGAGTGATTCCCCCAGATAGTATGACATCTCACAAAATGCCTCATTCTTATCTCACATTTTCTGTCTCGTGTAGCTGCAGACCAAGATAATGAAGCAGACCAAGCGTGGAACTACACAGAAGACGATATACAAGTGTAAAATATGTATGAAGGTATTTCAGAAGCCGTCTCAATTAATGCGCCACATTCGAGTTCACACTGGTGAAAAACCCTTCAAGGTAAAATTACTTTCAACTGAACCAATAATTATTTTATTATCAATACCGCAACGTCAATTAATTAATTTTCTCACACAAATGCTCATTCATACATCAAGTCAATGAAAAACTGCTAGTACATTTCACAAATCCCAAGATAATCCTCGAAAGCCAAATAATCTCAAGAATTTCAACAACAGTGTACCATCTGTGCTCGAGCATTCTCGCAGAAGAGTTCCCTGCAGATCCACATGTGGCGTCACGTGGGGGTACGGCCGTACCCCTGCACCCAGTGTTCAGCCAAATTTTCGCAGAAGGGGAACCTGAATGCTCACATTTTGCGAGTGCATAATGCACCGGAGGGTGAGCCAACGTACGCCTGCACGCAGTGCAGCTGTGTATTCAAGAAATTGGGATCCCTCAACGGTCACATGAAAAAAATGCACGCAGTACCAGTGGATGAAGTAGGCACATGCGACAGCTCGACAGAGACCAGTATTAAATCCCCAGACTCCACCCTGGATCCTCAATCCTCCAAGAATGACATTTTACAGCAGGCCCTGACGAACAGTGGTCTGACGACAAAGGAGAAGCCCTCGGACTCCCCAAAGAGGCCAGAGTCCCAGACATCTTACGTCACCCTGGTGGATCGCACTCCGGACGGTTCATTTCGAAAATACGTGACGATAAAGCAACGGAGGATAGGCTCAATTAGGTGGTACTCCTGTTCCTTCTGCCACAAGGAATTCAAGAAGCCCTCGGACCTCATTCGTCATCTTCGTGTGCACACGCAGGAGAAGCCCTTCAAATGTTCCCACTGCCCCAGGTCGTTCGCCCTAAAATCCACGATGAAAACCCACGAGCGCACGCACTTTGGGGTGAAAAAGTACTCCTGCGGAATCTGTGGAAAAATGTTCTCGTGTCACAGCAGCCTGACAGCCCACACGAGGACACATACAAAACCCCACAAGTGTGATCTCTGTGACATGTCATTCAGCACGAGTACTGTCCTCAAGAGTCACTTGAAGGGTCACGCCAAGCAGAAGGGCAAACTCTGTCCAGAGGCTGAGAGACTCGTCCCCCAGATTGTCCTCGAGGAGCCACTCGTCATCTCCGATGCTGGCAATAAAATAAGTGTCTCACAGGTGCAAAGCAAGCAGAGGCACGTCTACAACAGCGAGGAGGAGGGCAACAGGCCCCACAAGTGCTGGGTATGTCCTGCTGCCTTCAGAAAAATCAGCCACCTCAAACAGCACTACAGGAGGCACACCGGGGAGAGACCCTACAAGTGCTACAAATGCGACAGGAGGTTCACATCCAATAGTGTTCTCAATGCTCATCTCCATACTCATGAGGCAACTAGACCATTCAGCTGCAACGTGTGCGATGCCACGTTCTCAACTCAGAGCAGCCAGAAGAGGCATCTAGTGACCCACAGCAATAAGAGGCCATTCATGTGTCCGTACTGTCACAAGACCTTCAAGACGTCTGTCAGCTGCAGGAAACACATGAAAATTCATAAGAATGAACTGGCACAACAGCAGCTTGAGAAGCAGAAGAGTGGAGAGGAGGAGGGCAGGGAAGATGAACTGGCTCTCGAAGATGATCTCGAATTCCAGGGAAATATTAACACCGAATTCGAAGGCGCTTTTGGGGGCGAGGGAGAGGCTACTGATGGTATGTTTAAGTTTATTTCAAGTTCCTGTGGAATTTTTCGAAAGAGTTTTCCGGTGTTTGAATGTGGATCGTTCCATTCATTGATCATTTATCCTGCAGGAAATTTGGCGACTGTTGAACCTGGTAATTTAGCAACCTCCCAGACCCTCCACGCTGACGAGACGGGGACCATAACACTCCCAAATTACACTGGGGAGCAAACCTTAACTGCAGTACGTGTAATTCCCATTTTATGTGCTACATTGAGTTATTTAAAAAATTCCCACTAATAAAAAAATAATCTAGTGGATTGATAGATTAGAGAAAATGATTAATAAATATCTGGTGATAATTTCAGGAGAGCATTCGTGAGATAGAAGAAACCCTTAACCAGCAGCTCTTCAATATCGGTTTGGGGAATATCCACCTGCCTCCGACCCTGGCCCCCCCGATGACAGACACCACCGAGACCCCGCAGGCCCCAGTACTGAATATAATCTACGACAACCAAAAGGTGTTAGACCCCCCTCCACCATCAATTCCCACAAGTATATTTGGATCGCCCCATTTCGACACATTTGACATGAGTCAAATAACTCTCCAGGCAAGTCATAAATCCCAGCTACCAGAAATAGCCCCAATTCCCCTAGACTTTAATCACCCTCTGCTTATTCAGGCGGACACGGAAATCGACATGGGTATTAGTTCAGCAAATTCCACGAGCATGGCGAGTATTCTCCCTCGATCAGCCCAGGAGGAGCAGAGAATGATTCCAGTGTCGTCTCTGGATAATCCGACGAAGCCCCACAGGCTTGTGGTGGTGTCGTCGATTCCCCAGGGGTCAGAGGCCATTCGTCCCGTCCCAACATGCCCAAAGTACCCAAAAATCATCGCCAAAGCTGATACAACAGACACCACAGGGCTGCTTAACCTGGACAACGACGCCACCCTGGATAAATCCCAATCTTACCCCATTCAAGGAGAGTCAGAGCCCAAAGACAATGTTCAGATCCACCTGTCGAAGCTGTTCAGCCCCCCGGAGGTCCCCAAGGATCAACTCCAGTGCCACCTCTGTTTGCAAAAGGATTTCACAGCAGCTGCTCTGAAAACCCACCTGAAGAGCCATCGAGGCTCCAGGGAGTTCCAGTGCCCCGAGTGCTCTCTCAAGTTCTGCACTAATGGGGGATTGACTCGACACCTCAAGGTGCATAACAAGAAGACTGATGCTCATAACTGTTCCAGGTGTCTCGAGACATTCCCCAGTGAGGCTCAATTGAAATTACACATGAAGGGACATGAAAAAATATCCTGGGATCCAACAACGAGAATTGAACCTGACAGTTCCCAGAAGGAGCCGATACCCGTCGATGGGAATTCATTGACATTAAATTCTATGACTGAAGCCAATGATTCCTCAATATCGGAAAGAGTCTTGATGGATTCAGTGGCTGAGCGCGATATAATCAGACCCCTGAATTACGAGAATGATAAAGAGAAGAAAGAGTACACGAATAAATGTGAATACTGTCCGAAGACCTTCAGGAAACCCAGTGACCTCATTCGCCACATCAGGACTCACACTGGGGAACGTCCTTATCAGTGTAAACACTGTGAGAAAAGTTTTGCTGTCAAGTGCACGCTGGACTGTCACATGAAGGTACATGAGGGAACGAAATCCTTTTGCTGTCATGTTTGCAACAGTCTATTTGCGACCAAGGGAAGCCTCAAGGTTCACATGCGACTGCACACTGGCTCCAAGCCATTCAAATGTCCGATATGCGACCAGAGGTTTAGGACCTCTGGCCACAGGAAGGTCCACCTGGTGACTCACACAAGGAACAGTGATGGACCGAGACGCAGGGGAAGACAGAAGAAGAATCAGAACTCTGAGACCAGTGTTGAATCTGATGTCAATGTCAAGGATCACCCTGAGATAAATAATGTGGAACCAACAGGGGATTATCAGAATATTGATACAATCACCATCGATGCTACTGGAATTCCAGAGCAACTGACGTTCAATCCTGATGGCACGATAAATGATAATTCAGTACTGTCAGTTAATGATTCCAATCAACTCGTTGCTAATCTCCAGTTTTTACTCAGCAGTGGTCTCGTCACTATTCAGACCGACGAGTCTGCTCTGTTGCAGTTGAATGACGGAAATATGGGTCCGGAGAATTTAATGGGTCAAGGTACGAATTTGATGAGTGACAATCTGATGCTCTCGACGCAGTTGGATATTCATGGGGATCAGGAGCCCCAGCTGCAATTGGATAATTGCATGACTCTGGTGGAGATGCCTGAGGGTGGAGAGAATGCATCAGTGCAGCAGGTTCAGCCAGTCCAGAAGAGCAAAAGTAAGAATCCCACGAAGAAGGAGTGCGACGTCTGTGGTAAGACCTTCATGAAGCCCTGCCAGGTGGAGAGGCACAAGAGAATTCACACTGGGGAGAGGCCATTCAAGTGTCAGCTGTGTGACAAGTCTTTTGCCCAGAAGGTCACTCTCCAGATGCATCAGAAACATCATACTGGGGACAGACCCTATCCCTGCCCCCACTGCGATTACTCTTTCACGCAAAAGGGAAATCTCCAGACACATCTCAGGAGGGTACATCAGCTCGACACCATCGAGGGAAAAAAGCTCCGAAGGGGACAGCAGTTGAGTGCCAAAGTCACCCCGGATAATGATAATCAGATCAATGTCAATCGGCTGCTGAGTCTTGACGACATCTCTCTCGTTGAATTTCTCAAGTGAAGACTCCATCGGAGATATCCTCTTAATTCTTGCCATGTTATGTGTCATTGCGCCGGTTTATTGAGAGAAGGGCCAAGTGAAATTACTTTGACGAACAGTTGATGCTGGAATTAAGTGCCAATAGTAGATTTAATCTATTAATTTAATGGAATTGTGATAATGTTTTTTATACTGCACTGAACGTATTCGCTTTTGTAATCGGTGGTAAACTTTGTGTTCATATTTCCAATTATTTTGTAAAAAATAATCATGTTATCATGATATTGTACAAATAAAAAAATACAGCTATTCAATTTAAAATGTATTGTGTATTATTGACTCACGCATTCTCACAACAATGGAAGAGATAAGGCCGAAGCTTTTGGGTAATTAAGGGATTTGTTATTGTTTCATAATGTATCTTAATATCCCCATGTTTTCCTATCTACAATCTCTCAAGGTAATCCACTGTCGTAAATAACGATGGGTCAACCAGTCGTGAATGAGGTCAATAAAATTTCGATGATATTCATTTTTATTGGATTTGTTCGTCGTTTCGAGAAAAAATTGCTGCCACGTTAAATTTGACTGCAAAGCAAGCATTCTTGTACGAATAGTGATTCCATCAGAATTATTGTACGCATGCGACAGGACAAAAGTGGGGGAATACCGTGAAATCATTAATCATTATCAGACAATAAGGGGAATTCCAAAAAGAAGGTGCATAATCTCCGATAAGACTCGGAAGGAATTCTTGTCATTGTTATTTCACTGCCTGACAAGAAGTCTCATATCAACGCATCAGTAATTGACATCTCGATAATTTCCTACGATTCTATAAATAATTTAATGTTTTTTCTGAACTCAATTTATCGTAACAATTGAACAGCAGAGGTCAACTGGATTTAATGACATTTCTGAACCCACCATTCTGTCCCCATTACTTAAAACTGGGTATCCCACATTGTCAGATGAAGCAATACTGAGAAAGTTTTCGTGACGTTAGTGTTGGAACAGTGCCAGGAAGTAGCCACGAGTTTATATCGGTGTTTTCTATTTTTTATCCATTTTTATTTCACCGAGAGGACGACATGACAGCTGGAAAACTCATCGATTTCGATGATATCGGTAATACAAAGGATTAAATCATATATCATTTCGTTTATGATCTCTATTTAATAACACGATAAGATTCTTTCAGTATTTTTCAATTACTTATTCGTCCACGTACTCGTAGCAAATACCAATTGTTCTCAGTGATTGCACTTTTCACTTCATTCAAATCATTCAAATTACGTGCCACACACTCGGAGTGAATTTGAATGCTTATCGATGTTTTTGTTATTTATTAAGGACGAGGTTATGTCACTTAACTGTCGTTTATTATTTGGCCTTAATGATGAATAATTGACTCGTTCCACGTCTTCAGACTTTATCGCAATAATTTCGAAATATCGCGGTTGGAGTCGGAGGAATGCCGGAAATTCCTGGGGACTGAGAGGTCAGATTTTTTTTTTTAATTCCAGAAAAGGATATTCAAGAACTCATCCACGAGAGTATCAGGGTGAGAGAACGGGCGTACTGTCCGTACAGCAATTTTCAGGTGGGTGCAGCATTGCGGTGCGATGATGGGACAATTGTCACTGGGTGCAACGTGGAGAATGCAGCATTCACAGCTGGTACCTGTGCAGAGAGATGTGCAGTATCAAAAGCGATATCCGAGGGGAAGAGAAAATTCCGTGGTCTCGCTGTTGTGGCAAATTGTGTCGAAGGTGCCATCACTGCACCCTGTGGGGTCTGTAGACAGATGTTGGTGGAATTCGGGGACATGCCTGTTTACCTCGCATCACCTGACAAGAAAAAAGTCCTCAGGACGTCCTTGAGGGAACTCTTACCCATTTCCTTCGGTTTCAATGGAGTCATATTCGAGTAAAAATATCAATAAAAATTATAATCGATATTAATTGATCTTTCGTGAAGATTTATTCATCTTTCGATGGGAAAATTATATGACTCGTTTATCGTTCGATTTTAGCCTTCGGGCAATTTATCAGTGAAATTGTGAATATTTTATGGCGATCACTCATTTATCTGAGAAAATATCGTATATCAAGGTGCTGAAGTTTTCAAAAAGACTCTAGATTATTTCACCTTTTCACTCATAAATTCGATTCTTCCACGTATCCGTTACAATATTATCCAAATTACACAAATATTCACCTAAATTACAAGCTTAATACAAATACAACTGTAACTATATACAAAACCGCGTATTGACATTGTACTATATACAGCATTCGTGAGATAACAGTAGAAAATAATTCGAATAAAGCATTTTAAATTGCAGAAATGCATTGTTGAGCCCTTGCCATCCCATAATTACCAGAATGGACACCTGAGTGAAAAAAAGTTGAAAATAAAAATTCATGAAAAAATATTCAAACCTTACATTATATTAATTCATTGATATTTGACTCTCACCATCCAATGTAGCACTGACACAGGTTCTCGTTGTTGGTTGCCTGTTGAATGAGCAGTTGGACCTGTCGTTGGACACTGAGAGTTTCTTCATGAAGGAAATCCCTTCCTGTCAATTTATCCCTGACCCTCGTGATGATGGCGAGAGCCTTTTTATTGAGGGCTTCAGGCTGATTGGTGTCCCCTCCATTCTCAATGCTGCAGGGTCCAACCCCTTTTTTCGGAAGAGTGGAAGTCAGTGACTCGAGGATATCCCCGTGCTCCTGACTGCTGCTAGTGGTCATGCTCTGGGCGTCAGACCTCGTGCCCTTGGGTGCAGCATTATCCATCAGTCTCCAATTCAATAAAGGATCATAAACAAATGCCTCGAGGACAGCCATCAGACTGTCCTTATTTCTATGGAGAACGGACATGACTGACTCGCAGGTTCTCCTGTACGTGCCCTCAATGCCAGTCACTTCCATCGCATTAATCAGCATCCTGGTGAGCCTGAAGGGGATTTTTTCAGGAAATTTCTCTCTGGTCATTGCCACCTCGAAGCAATCGCCGAAGTCAATGTGTAGGATTTTTCCACTGAGGCGATCCAGCATGAGATTCGAGGGATGTCGATCCCCAAGTCCAAGGATGTACCCCACCATCGACATCACTGCCAGTGATCTGGTGTAATTAGTTCTTCTGTCGAACCAGACTTCGCTGGACGGTGACTTGAGCCAGAGAAGACGGGAGAGATCATCTCCGTGGGTGTGCTCCAATGCATGCTCGAACACCTCGACTTTCTGCATGAGCATTAAGTGATCGTAGTCTGGTGCCATCCTCAGCATGATCCTGTGCTCGATGTTCAAGAGGATCTTCTTTTTATCCCGATAATCCCTTATCAGAGTGTGCAGAGTGTCACAATGAGGCACCCAACCGATGAGTCCACTATTCGTAGATAAGGGTATGACAGCGTACCTCTGAATCGTAAGATTTCTCCTGAAGGTGTCAGGGTCGTGGAGGAGGAGTGTATTCACCAGCCCAAAGAGCTGCATCACTCGTTCGTCTTGCCTGAGATCCTCGTGGCCCTTCAACAGGAACATATAGTCCTTTCCATTGCTCCCTCTGATGCAGAGCTTTCTGGGTCGCTGTTTACTGGTGATCACCTGCATCGAGCTGTGGATACTCTGGATTCTGACGATGGGCTGACCTGGGGAGTAGCTCCCAGGTACGGCGAGCTCGAGGTCCCTGCAGAGGAGAAGCTTCGGACTCACATACTGCAATTCTAGACTAGTTAACTGGGGCAGCTGCCTGGATATCCTCCTGAAGACGTGATAATAGAGGTCCCAGGCTTGATTGAGATCTCTCACATTACCGGAGACCCTGTACCTGTGACACCACTCGCGTGCGTCCATCAGGTCTCTACCGTATGCCTGATTGAAAGAGGTCTCCTTCAGGGTCTCGGGGCCTCGCTCCAGTGTCTTGTGGAGGGGCTCCAGGGTCTCGAACATCCCTGTGACGTTTCTCTCACCGAAGTACAGTCTACTGGCCTCCTCGAGGGCTTCGTGCCACTGCTCGTGCCAGAGAATTGCCACCCGGATAAGCTCATCGCTCGCCATAATCGCTTGTTGCACTAGAGTTGGACTGTGTTCTCCCATATTTTTCAGAATTTTATTGGCTGCAGTTTTTCGTGCCACACTAGCACTCTTCGAGGCGACTGTCAGAGGATAGACCAATGCCTGAGGGTGGGATTTACCGATATCTATCAACAGGTGGTGGATGCATCTGCCGACGAGTGCCCTCGGTGTGTCAATCCGAGCAATCAGCTGGGGTATCACTTGCAACCACGTATTGATCTCGATCAGGCAGATACCCTCGACGATTGCGTCGTACACCTCCGGCCACTGTCCATAGTCGAACCACAGGGTTAAAAGTCGCAGGGTATCCTGAAGGGAATTCCCATGGGACAGATTTATGGACTTGAAGAAGCCCTTGACAGCAGGCACTGTAAATCGAGATATATACTGAGCATTTGGTAGAGATACCCTCGAGCCATTCGTACTGCCATTTCCCTCCCTCGTCTCTTGGACCCCGGGATCACTCTGCTGATGTTTGTAAAAGAGAACAGTCTCGAAGTTGGTGTAGGCGAAGGCGTGCCAGGCCTTGTACCAGCTAGGATCGTGATCGGTGGCTGCACTGTAGTACGATAGAACAGCTGGAATTGACGTCTCGTTGATTCCCTTGAGGGACTCCATCCACTCCCCTAATTTCAGGTAGCACCTCGCTAGCAGCCGTCTGTGGGCTTCAGCCTGCTCTTGAGACTGCTGATGGAGAGAATCGTCACCCTGGCTGATGAGACCAGTAACAGCAACAGCTGCGGGTTGGAGGGAATTGTCAACGAAGAGTTTCAGTTGATTGTAAGCCTCTTCCCTTTTATTTGCCATCCACATGTGCTTGCAGTAGGCAAACGTCACCTGGGGATGCTGAGTGGGCAGTGGATCATTGGGAGTCTTCGAGGGATCGACCCCCAGCAGCATGACTAGAGTTTTATGGCACAGCTGGAGGCTTCCACTCTTTCTGCAGAGACTTGCGTACTTGAGCCACGTGTACATATCATCCTGGGGGGACACAACTAGTGTGTGCACTTGGATTATTTTCTGCCAGTCCTCGACGATCCGCTGGCCTCCCTGGAGCCTCTCCCACCACATGAATTTAATCGTGTGACGTCTCTCAGGTACCAATTTATACTGAATCACTTCCTCGAGCTCAGCCAATTTCTGGACCTCCACCATCGCATTGTAGGCACGTTGATAACTCTCCCCAGCCATCGCCGTCAGCTCAGTATCCAGGAGATCACGTGCACTATCTATCAGCTGATGGGCAACGTTGTACTGATCATTGTGAATTGCCAGAACTGCTCGGTAGAATGCACCGTCCTGAGAGTCCTTGGGCACAAGCCCCACGTATTTCTCCATGCTCTCCCACTGGCCCAGACCCCAGGCAGCTGCTGCAGCCATTCTCGCCATCCTCTGCTTCGTCTCATCGGTCTGATGAGACCACTGACGTGTTGCAACGTCATGAAGCTGACCCCACTCCCCCAGAGCCTCCAGACACCTCATCTCCCCGAGGGTCGACTCCACATCGCTTGGATCTGTCTCCAGACGCTCCTTGTAGAGGTGAAGGGCTTTATCCCAGTTGTGGAGCTTCTCGTACCAACGAACCTGAACTTTCAGGTCCTGTTGATTATCCTGATTCATTACGTACTCCAGGAGACCCTCCGCTGCCTCCTTCTGCTGGAGTTTATTGTTTATGGAGATGAGGGACTCGAAGACACTGCTGTTTCTACTCTTGTGGAATTCGTCCTCTTTATAATGCAAGGCTTTAGCGTAGGTTCGACAGTGCATCGCCCTCTCTCCTAAGATCTTATTATCCAGGGGAAGGGGACCCTTGTCACAGTGCTCCATGAACTCAGCGAGATTTAATATTGTTTGGGTTATTTCTGGAATGTCTGGGATCATCAGTGCCTGCTGGAGGGTTTGGATTAATTCACCCCGGTAGGGATCGGTTAGTTCTGACCAGCAGGAAACGAATGCTGCGTTGAAGAGGTCCCTGGGAAGCTGGGAATACGTTTGTGCGAGAGCCCAACAGGATCGCAGAGCTGGAGAGGGTGACTCCTTCAGGAGACCTATCGACAAGGACCTCAACCACTCCAACCAGTCGTCTTTCGATACTCGTGTCATAGCTGTCCAGGCTTTTTGCAAGTTCGAGGCCGACATGTGCAGACGCTTGATCATCGTTGTGTCTGACGACGTCAGGGATAAGTCCCTGTTCTTGTTCCTCGAATTTCTGTGTCTCATCAGGAGGTAATCGTCTCCCTCGACCATCGACGTCTCTGTAAGGATCTTATCCACCAGGATGTCGTACTGAGAATTAACGATCTTGTGTTTTGTCATGACTTTTTGAACGAGAGAGATGAATATCTGATATTTCTTGCCCAGTTGGATCACCAGAGCACACAGGGTCTCCATCGCTGTACCCCTCAACTCTGGACACTGATCCAGCGTTCTCACCAGGGGGTGAACAATCCTGGAAGCGAAATCAGTAAAGTCCAGAGTGTCTGCAAGGTGATCCACAGTCTCCAGGGCAACTCTGTTGACAGTTATTGGGCAGTCGGATGCGTGGAAGAGCTTGACTATCGGTGGTAGCACCAGGTGAAGATAATTGTCGAGATTATTTCCGAATTTTTGGAGGGCAAGGAGAAGCTTGACAGTGACACTTCGATCTTTACTCGTGTCATGAGTTAGCACCCTCAGAATTTGGGGCATCAACTGGGGGAGATAGATCTTGAATTCTGCACCGAGTGCCACTGCAATATGCTCAATCAGGAGGATTAATGTACTCTGGAGGGAACTGTTGACAGTCCAAAATTCTTTGATGAGGTTGAAGGTGTCGTCGAGGTAATTTCTGATGTGTTGTTTGACAATTGCGATGAGAATTGCCAGCTGTTGAAAAAGATATTCCCTGAAGTTGACTTCTGCTGTTCTCACGACGTTCAGTAAACTGGGCATCACCTGGGAGATATAGGGGACACACTTGATCCCCAGACTCTTGAATATAAATATCACAGCCTGGACCACCATCGTATGGTGTTGTGCGAGAGTTGGATCCCTGATTATTCTCATCAATGTGGCGATGGCAATCGCTGGATAGTACTCCTCGAGACTTGAAGACGACATGTTCACGAGCATTTCACTGGTGGTCAAGTCCTGGTTGCTCTCTATGTCGCTCTTCGTGTCAGTGACTGAGGTCAACTGATTGTCCACCTGCGAGTCGATCTGCCCGAGATTCATCTTATGTTTGTAAGGATCGAGTGCCCCCAGGAGTCCCAGGACACGAATAGTCTCTCGTCTGATAATAGGCTGTTGCTCAGTCTTGAGGAAATTAATGAGAACCTCGAGGAGCGAGGGATACTGCATGTAGGGCTTGACTACGTGCCCAGTGCTGCCGACAAGCTGCCCAAGAACCCAGAGGGCTACCCCTCGTTTCTCTGGTGAACTCGCGTCCACCAGCATCTCCAGGAGGATCGAGAGTAGCTCTGGCATCCACTGCTGCATCTCCGAGCCATTCACCTCGGCTAGATCCCCCACTGCTCGTAGAATCGCCAGGACGACTCCAGGATTTGGTTCTGGTTCCTTCAATTTGGGAACGAGCACCTTGAGAATGGGTTTCATGTAAGGACGAATAAGCCTAGGAGCGCTGACTACCAGATGATCCAACATCCTGGCGGCTTGCTCCTTATTTCTTCCCATCCCCGAGTGCTCCAACTCCGTGAGAAATTGTATAAGTGTCTTCCTGAGTGATGGCATCACGTACGCTGGATTCATAGTGCTCAGTCGGCCAATCGTGCTGATGGCCAGCTCTCGGATCTCAAACATCTCATCGTTCATAGCAACGAAGAGGGCTGAGAGGCTCTCAGCCTGCGCCAGGTGAATGTCAAAAGAATCATCCAGAGACGCCAGCACAGAGATCCTTACATCCGGGTCAGTATCAGTGATACCCACTACCAGGAGTTTTCCAAGAACTGCAGACACTGTGTTGGTTACTGTGGGTCCTGGCTGGCTCAGGGCGAGTCTCAATAATCTGGAACACGTCCTGACAGCTTCGAGTCTCACCTCAGGCTGTTCCGAAGTGAGAAAATGATCAGCACATCGCCTCACAAATTGCAGGAGTGGATTCCCATCGAAATTGAAAGTCCCCAGGGTGCGTAGAGCGAGAACAGTGGAGGGCACGTCCATAGGCTCTGATGGAGGTGCAGCGAGAATGCCACTGGGGCTGGTGGCGGTCCAGGGGGCACCTGGATGACGAAGGGGCTTGTGCATCAATACCTGGGAGAGCATTCTCAAAAGTCCCTGAGAAATGTCAAGCTTGAGGGAGGGAACATTGTGGGCCAGTTCCCTCAGGGAAGTCGTTAAAATGGGACTCAGCCCAGTTGCCAGCATCGACTCCAACAAATCCTTGGCATCAGCACTGATGGCCTGCTTCACAGCATGCGCCAGCAGGGTGATGCAGATGAAAACCGCCGGCTCCAGGGGGGCTCCCCTCTTTTTATTTGGCGTTTCCTTCGAGGGTAGACTCCCCTTTATCACCTCCATAATCTTCGGGAGATATGGCTTGATGGATTCACCAACAGCCACTGATATCAAACCAATCGTCATAAAAGCGGCGTAACGGTCTTTTTCTCGTCCCCTCAGGACAATCAGCAAATAATTGAGAATGTCTCTGAGGTGGTCCTTCGTGAATTTCTCAGTGTTGAAAGCCACCAGTCTAGGTAGTAGCGTCATCAAGGCATGTTGGATGTGAGGATTTTTCGATAGTCTCTGGTTCAAAATATCCATGTAAACGTCATCGAATCTCTCCTGCATGAGTTGTCTGCAAGCAGCTGACTCGTGCACTGGATAGAGACAATGAGAGTACTGAGTCGTGGAATTTCCACCGGTGATTACACTTTGATTATTTCCAGTGCCATTGATAATGTCGTTGTAGATGCCATCAGTGGCTGACCTGTTGGCACATCCAGACCTCTTGGATACAATAATGGTTTTTAATCGGGGCATCAGCACGAGGATGTCATTGTAATTCTCAGGATTGGAGAGAGCGAGCCTCTCCATAAGCTCCTCGTACTTCTTCTCCCACAGAACGTTACTACACCTGAGGAGCTCATTGAGTACCAGGAGGGATCCGTGAATTCTGTCGTCCCGATTGAAGCCTCTTTCCCTGCTGTAGACATCCTCAAAGCCAGCGATTATCTCGTCGTAGCACTGCTTGTACCACTGGGACTTGTGCATCTGTTTAGTTGTCTCTCGTTGGGCTGTTACCACTAGGGCAGCTCTTAGGGCCTCGACAGCCCCCTCTCGAATCACAGCTTTAGGATCTCTCACTGCATTGAAAATTAAATCGAAAAAGGGGGTGACCTGCTGGAAGAAATACGTGGGCATCGATACTGCGATCTCTCGGAGGACTAGAACAGCTGCATGACGTTTACCCTCGTTTCTGTCACCCCCCAGCCACTCGAAGGCTCTCTTTACCTCGAACTCGACGTACTCCGCTGTGTAAGTCCCTGAAACTAGTGCCAATTTTCCAACTGTCTTCGCTGCCAGCTCCATCACCCCAACGTCGGAGGATGGCAGGAGGTTCCTCAGATAATTGGCAAAACGTATCGTCCTGGTGCTGGTGTTACCCACGTCGACCCCTAAGAGGCAGACTATCGCAAGGATTCCTCCCTTTTTCTCACTCATATCCGACCCTGAGACCATCTGGAAGATGTGGTGATTGAAATCATCCATGAACGACGTGATCTCCTCCAGGGAAGTCTCTCGGAGTTCTGTTTTCGTGTAGTGACAGAGATCTCGTGCTGCTTTATTACGCACATCCTCGTGACGGGACTTCAATCGCTGGACAAACTGCTGGACTAGAGTCGTCGACATCGTGAAGGTCAATGTGGAATTCCGGGTGTTGTCGATGGGTAATTGCGGGTTTTTTTCTTTCATATCGATTCATTCATTCTCATCGTCTTATTCGTAACTCTTCGTTACTCGTTTTCAGGTTTTTTTTTGAATTTTTAATTAACAATTTCTATGCACTTTTATTAATCCTCTAATGCATTCATCTGGTGCTGAGGTCAATGCACAACTCCCTCGTCTTCGTGAACTCGTTTTGTGGATTTCTTCGGGGTATGGTTAGAAGTGAGTGATTACTTACTTGTCAATTTTTTTTTTTCTCCTGGGTACAATGGGTTCCAGTCGTTCCAGTCGAATCGTCAGATCGTCGTCGTCGCTGAGGTTAGTTAGGTTAAGATTAAGAGAAACTCTTTGCGCGAATTAAACATATCCCTCCAGTGGGTGACAGTTTTTTTTTTCGGGAGACAGTTCCTCCGGGTTTCACTCACGCAATTTGTTTATGACAGGGGAGTACTGTAACTAGTCAATGGGAGTTGCTCAAGTGGATGCAGCCATAAGGCCAACACTAACCCAATCTTTGATTTATCATTGTGTTTGGGGTTGTGTAATAACTACGTGGCTACGCTCTTTATGGCGCTACAACCTTTATAGCTCATTGTAATGCGGAGTTTATGAATGAACGCTATGTTCAACGATTCATTGTGTTTTTTTATCTTTTTATTGCTGAAGAATTAATGGAATGACTGTTCAATCGCCAAATATTAATGATGAAAACATTCTGTCAATTATTTTTATAACCGCAATTAATATTTTTTGGTATTGAATTGAAAAAATCCATTCTGTACATTTTTTTATTTTTAGATTAGAATTTTATGTGATTTTTCAATTTTTCAAGATTTCTCGACAGGATTAAATCATGATAAAATCATGTTGAGAAGTCCTGAAATATTTTCTCATAAATTATCAATTCACGAATAAAATTTTTGAGGGAAAAAAGTGTCACCGACGGACTCGCCGTCAACCGGGTGTTTCTAGAGAGCTGGTGACCCTTCAGTCTACATCTGCCGCGACTGTGTCAATATTTGTGTTGGCGGGAAGTTAAGTTCTCGTTGCAATGAATCCCATTTATTGAGATTTACATGTGAAATCGCGAGTCAGTCGATAGAGAAATTGGATTATCTTAAATTAAACCCTTGGGGGTGGAATTAAGAAAAAAATGTGGTTATTATCATGTACGAGGCGGAAATATACGAAATCAACTGCTGGCCGGCGAAAAAATTATCTAAAACGAAAGAAAGAAAGTGGGAAGAGATTGAATTGATTCTGCGATGTTCAAATGCAACTTTATAAATATATTTTATGTCTTTTGCTTCAATAAGAGGAATGTTTTATCCATGAAATGGTCGTTTTGACGGTGAGTGACAATGCAACAGTCAGAAGCCAATGGTTAAGGCCAAGATATCACATCAGGTTCCTTCTTAGTTGAGTTTTAACATGAATTTAGTCTTTGTGGTAGAGTTTTGGGGTGTAGGGAGATGTGTAGACCGGTTGTCTTCTTTTATCTGGACTTATGCCCTCGCGATTCGCGTAGAATCGCCTCTCGATTACTTTGTCGAAGAACCTGCTGAGTTTTACAGATGATGTCGTGCCTGCTGCGAGGGAACGCACTTGACTGCAATCCTGAAACCACAAAAGTACAGGGAAATTATTAAAAATAATAATGACAACAAGTCTGACGTTTTTTTTTCATCTACCAAAAAAATCTCGTCAGCTCCACATTCTTCAGCAATTGTTGATGATCGCCTGTGGAGATTAGACCTCGATGGCACCAGATCTAGTTTCGTCCCAACTACCAGAATAGGAATCTAATAAAAAATATCCAATTATTAATTAATGGAATGACGAGTGACGGTTGAGGATATCCATGACTCCACGTATGAAAGAAATAAAATTATTAATTATTCTGATTAACTGATTAATTAAAAGATAAGAAGTAGAATATTTGAATGGAGTTCGATATCCCCAAGAGCTTGACAAAAATTCCTCAGTTCTCCAACTGAAATATTCAAGAAAAAATATTACTTGTGTGGAACCCACAAACTTTTCTGGATCGAAATCGTCGAAAGACCTAGACCTTCCACTGTTTCCATCTCTACTCAAGACCTCCTCCAACCACTTCTGCAGATTCTGCTGGGATTTTCTGTTCGACAGGTCGTGAACCAAAATAATTCCTGTAAGACAAACCCAAGAAATTCCTCAATGCCCTGCATCAATTGAGAGGGAAAATCGAGTGAGATATTGAGAATTACCATTCGTAGGATTGTAAAAAACATGCCTAGTATTTTTATGACTCTGACTGCCTCCAACATCCCATAGTTCAATGAAATATCTTTTCTGATTGGGTGTCCCTTCCTTGTACTCGTGCAATTTCACCTCCACCGAGCAGCCAATCGTCCAGGACGGATTGTTTATTGTCTGTTGCTCACATATCAAGTGCGTAAGTGACGTCTTTCCCACCCCTCAAACAAAATTAATCAATCAACACGTGTAAAATAATTTGACAGATAAATCACATTTCATGCCACGTCAGTCGATAATTACCTGAGTCCCCAACGACCATAATCTTAACTTTGTCAATAGCTGCCATAGATCAATGCAGACAATTGTCATTTGTCTCTATAATGATTATTACAGGTTCGATAAAAAAATATCGCATCACCAGAAATTGACAGGTTATCCACAAGATTGGCTTGTCAAAACTACATACACAGATTGTTGTAAATACACGTACACGATTGATTCATTCGCGCCATTTCGCAGGGGAATATTTACAATTTAGGGAATTTAGAATTCTAACATTGCGCCAATCTGATATTTGAAGTTTGGCGAACTTGACAATCTTTCCACATTGTTTGCTACAAAAACAAGGTGTTTACATGTGTTTTATCTACATTGTTGTCATGATAATGCGGTAACAACGAGAAATTACGATTTTTCAAACCCTCGAGAATGTAAATATGTAATTAATTTCACTGAACTGTCATGCACGCATTAAAATAAAGTTCTATGAAGTGTCCCCGCTAAATAATCGAGTGATTATATTTTTTTGAAGGTTAGTACTTGGTTATCGCATTATTTCACATATTTTTAAGATAAATATTAAGTGCTAGTAAATTTAAACAATGAGAAATAATTATTTTATTGGTATAGTAAGTACTGATAGTAGTTATTTAATTATTTATTGTTTCTAAATGAATAATTTTCGTTTAATTACTTCGGGTTAATTGTTGAGACTGTTTTGAGCATTTAATTAATTTTGTTGTTACTGTTTTTTCAGAGTCATTGAGGAGAATTATGGAGGAGAGACTTGTGACAGAAGTGCCCAGCAGTCTTAAACAACTGGCAAGACTTGTTGTCAGGGGTTTTTATTCGATCGAGGATGCCCTAATCGTCGATATGCTAGTTAGAAATCCATGTGAGGCTCCAATATCTGTATCGTATAAATTTAAGAAAGATATAAGAATTAATAAACCATTTTGTGATAAAAAATGATGTAATGAGACATTTTAATGTGCGACTTGAAGGTATGAAAGAGGACGATATCTGTGAATTACTCAAGTTCGAGAGGAAGATGTTGCGTGCAAGGATAGCAACTCTGAGAAATGATAAATTTATTCAGGTCCGGTTGAAAATGGAGACTGGATCTGATGGAAAAGCGCAGAAAGTCAATTACTACTTTATTAATTACAAGGTAACGTCATTCGTTGGGATGGAGGAGATGCGAGAGACTGAGGGAGATTTTGCTTTCAGACTTTTGTAAATGTTGTAAAATATAAACTGGATCTCATGAGGAAGAGACTGGAGACAGAGGAGCGCGATGCTACGAGCCGAGCTAGCTTCAAGTGTACAAATTGCTCCAAGACTTTTACGGATTTAGAAGTGAGTGGAAATCCTCATTGTAGGTTTATATTTTTTCAAAACATTTTCAATTTAAAAATAGGCAGATCAGTTATTTGACCCGAACACTGGAGAATTCCGATGCACCTTCTGTTATGAAGTGGTGGAGGAGGACCAGTCAGCACTGCCCAAGAAAGATTCACGTTTATTACTCGCTAAATTCAACGAGCAATTGGAGCCCCTCTACATTCTCCTGCGAGAGGTTGAGGGCATCAAACTGGCTCCAGAGATCCTTGAGCCTGAGCCTGTTGACATCAACCTGATCAGAGGGTGAGAAACCCTTTCATTTGCAAAGAGGATTTCAATCAAAATAATTTCTTTTTGGTGATAATTTTAGAATCGATACCAGGAGGCCAGGTGTCAGGCCACCAGGAGAGCAGTGGTCAGGAGAGGCAACTCGAGGCTCAGGATTCGCTGTGGAGGACACTCGAGTGGATGTAACAATCGGTGACGAGACCACAGTCGATTCAGCGAACAAACGAAAGGAGAGGCCCATCTGGATGATGGAGAGTACAGTTATCAATGATAACTCGGAGCTCGACAATGGCTCTAATCAGGACAGTATCCTGGATAAGGCAGCAGCCACTGCTACCAACACCAGTGCGAATCACAAGCAAGGGGAGGATATCATGTCTGTGTTGTTAGCTCACGAGAAGAAAGGAGGAGTCACCAATGCAGTCAATGCTGTCAAGGCTGTCCTCCCCCAGGACTCCAGTGACTCCAGTGATAATGAGGAGCATGTGGAAATGCAAGCTGTTGATGCAGGTGATTAATTTATAATTTTATCATTTTAATTTCACTTATCTGCATGAATATTAGTATTTGGAATGGAATTATTTGAATCGATGGATCAAAGTGGAAATTAATCGACGAATTTTTCAGGTGATGTTGAAATAATGGAGTCAGATGATGATGATGCAATTCCAACGGTGACAGTTGGAGGAAAAACTGTACCAATAACTGATGTCAATGAGGCACTCACCGATGCTATGACACCTGCCGAAAAAGAGGCGTATATCCAAACCTATCAGGAATACTATTCCCACATGTTTGATTAGTCGAATTAATTTCTGAAATTGTCTTTCATTATCTCAATTACTATATTTTTCATCATCGACCGACTGATGTATCTCTTTTTCTATGTAAAATAAAAGAAATTCGTGGTTTACGCCGACGATTGGATTACAGTATTTTGATTAAAAGGAACTTGTTTAATGCATGAGGATAATTTTTTTTTTTTAATTGGTCTTTTATATTTTTTTCCTTTCTAACAGATAACATTTAATTCAACAATACAAGGCATCAACGTAGTATTCCTTTTTCATAAATAAATTGAATAAATATCCATTAAATATGAAATGAATTAAATTAAGAAAGAATAATAGTCACTTCTGGAAAAACGGGAGAAGTTATTTTTTCAACTTAAAAGGGGTACAATACTTAAGCTCACTTCAGTTTATTTTTTTGTTTTCATCGTCTCATTACCCATGGGAATTTCCATTCGACCACCACCATCGAATGAAAATTCAGAGACGATGGGAAATATTATTTTTATTCTAGTTTTACTATTTTTTTTCATCATTTTCATTGTTTTTCTCAATTTTTCCTTCAATAATCACCTTTTCCAAAATTACTAATCGAGAATCCAGAGGTTATTCGTTTTTTCTTAATTTTCTTTTTACCTTTCGCTGTTTACCCAGCTATTGGGGCATCTGACTACTCCGAGAGGACAGGGACACGAGGATGACAGCACCATAAAGATAATATTTAATACTCTAATTCCTCGGTGAATGGAAGGGGCCATAGGCCAATCATTTCCATCTGTCCTTTCGAGATTAATCAGATGCCTCTGACCCGTTCATTTTTTTTTCTTTAGGTTTATCGTTAATCTTGTTATCTGTTTACTCGGGCTCGTTCAGACGGAGGCGAGCAAAATCCTCGAAGACGATGTTGTCGTCGTCGTCGTTTGCGTAGCACGAATTCTCGTAGCGAGCGCGATCTACGCTCTTCATCTTCTTCATCTGAGCCTTCTCACGTTCAATAGCGCCTGCAATTCAGATAATAATTGATGGATAAAAAATAGTTCGTTCAAAAAAAATGAGAAATTCACATAATCAAAATTTATCGTTTTTCTCGATTATCTCGGAAATCATTGATTTACGACAGAAACAGTAGAGAAATTTTTTATAGCTGATTAACTTTCCGATGTAAAAGATTTTATCGTATTTTCCTTCAAACTCCATATTTTTTGAGTTTTTTAATGTTTTCTCGACTCGAAAATTTTCAGGAACCCCTGAATTGTGAGCAGTGAATTTTTACCTGTTTCCGAGTGGATTCAAGATGATTTTTGGTGAATATTTTAAAATTTGCGGGAGATAGCGAACGTTTCCGAGATATCGAGGAAAAACTAATGTCTGATGGAAATTAATTTTCCCCGCTTTTGGTAAATATCTCCGAATCTAAGGCAGATGTTGAGATTTTGTTCAGGACCCTTTTTGTAGATATCCCACCCTACAAAAAAGGTTTCTGTGAAACTTCACTATCTCCCTTGATTCCAGGGGTATTTTTCAGGAAGAAAAAACGAGTGTCTGGCAATTGAGGATCCCTCAGGGTGATGACCCATGGAGATGTAAAAAAATTATTTACCGGGTGCTGGGTGCATCAGTTTCAATGGCACATCAGTCACGAGTTCTCCACCTAGTGTTCCACAGTTGAGTTTTACTCTGACGGAATACGAGATGATGATTCCCATCGCCTCAGCTGGGCACTTGCCCTCGGCGACTAGGGTGGACGAAGCGAGGTTGACGTCGTCGTCCTGAAACAAAAATATTCCATTTACCCAAACTCTCAGGATAATTAACGAATCAATCAGAAAATTAAAATTTCGTGGATTGATATTTTTTTAATGGGTTTATGAATTTTTTTTCAAAAAAATTATTACCCTGAGATGGCCATCGAGGGCAATTCCACGTCGGTCTTTGTTGCTGCTGGCGAGGGGCACCAGGTAGAATTGCTTGGTGAAGTTAGCACCCGGAGTAATAGGACAGCCCTCTCGGGTCTCAAGACTGGCGACATGACGAGAGAACTGAGTGTTCACCATCGTCACTTCGCAGTGCTGGACGACAAACATCTGGAATTCAATTGGAAATACTCCAATGAAAATTGATTTGATGAAAGACTTGGACTGAAGATCAATCAGTCGATTCAAGGAATTAATTTCAAGTTTATTCCCTGGATATAAATAATTTAAATTGTACCTTAATATTCTTCACAGCTTTGCGGGAGTTGTTAGTGATGACAACGTTGGCAGCAATTTTCTCACCGTGATAATAGATTTCCTTATCAAGGGTCACCTCCAAGTTGAGTTTTCCCTGTGAGAAAGTGAAGCCCTTGGAGACGAGGGAGCTGGGGAGTCTGCGTCCTCGAGAGATGGGGGCAAACTGGAGTTTCTTGATAGCAAGGGCAATGGTCGATCGCTTGTGGGTCTTCTCCTCCTCATTCTCACCGACGAATACCTTGAGGGTGTACTCGACACCCAGGGGTTTGCCCTGGTCATCTTCACCTGGCTGAAGGGTCACGGAGCTCGGTGAGTTCTGGGGGAAGTTGAAGGTGAAGGGAAAGGCATTGGGACCGAGTTTTTTCAGGAGACGTTCCTGGATGGGTGTTGCTTCCTGCTTTTCCTTCTTCACGGGGACAATCTGCTCCCGGAGGAGCACCATCTCCTTGCTGAACTTGACGCCCATGACCTCATCCTCTTCCCGTCCATAGCGGTAGGTTGTGATGATCTGAATAGTGAAAATATATCGGTTGAGGACAATAATCTGTTCGGGAAGTATTTTCCTTCGGTATTTACCTGACCGTAAACCCTGCGACCCTGGAGATAATCATTTTCCACGACAACTACGCCATCAATTGGTTCACAACGATCGAGATGATCTATAAAGTCTCGTTTGCCCAAGTAGACGGTGACCTTCCCTATAATTCAACAATTCAAATAATAATTTCAATTAACAAATCGTTGGTTAAAAAAAAATCCTCTGGGGTAAAATCAGGTAGAACTCACCATTCGGGGTGGTTTTCTTGAAGACCTTGACAGCCACGACGTAGGCCAAAAACAAGAGAGGAAACATTTGTCTCTTTATTCAGATGTATTTATTATACGCTCCCAAGTCCAAAGATTTTGTTCCCGCCCAGAAGTGACAACAGTTACCCCATCCCCAGGTGTATTTATACCACTCCCTGGGGCTTCACCTAGTGCAAGAAACCCCACATCAACTAATGAAATTACAATTCATAAGACGTTCTAACACGATTTCCAACGATGACTTATTACAGAGATAAATCATGAGAACACGTGGGTGATCTTTCTGCCTAGTCTCCAGCTACCAGTCGAACCAGAGATGTCAAAGGGACTGGAGTCATCTCCACCCATTATTAATAATTAATTATCAATTCTATCTGTCCAATAAACGGAATTCACTTCACAGAAACAATTAATAAAAATGAATTCACAGAAGAAAAATAAAAAATGAAGAAAAAATAGATTGAGTGAAGGAAACGAGTGCTAATCAGTCTTAAGATTTATATTTTATTCTTTCAATCAATTAATAAGTGTACATTCTTTTAATGGAGGTATTTTCACCCTTGAAGAGATCAAGAATCCCTCGGACCCTTCCAAGGAGTTCAGTTTCGTTATCCACAGTGGTATCCTCGGTCTCTCCCCCTTAATCATAAACCATTATAGTTTTTCATTTGCTTCGAGTATACATATTACACGTATTCGATACAAATTTAATTCAGCAGCCGATGTAGAGGGTAACAAGGCTATTCAGCAAATAGGCGAGTATTCTAGAAATATCTATGAATCCGAGGGAGATAACGAAATAGCTCTCAATTTTTTCTAGCTCTCTTTCTGCCCTGTAAAAAAGGTGGTGTGAAAAAATTCGCTATCTCTCACAGACTCTGGGATAATCATGAAAATCTCGACTTGTAATCCTCTACTTTTTCGTTCTGAATCCCAGCGTTTCGCATTGTCCCCCGCTCTACGTTTTTCACTCTTCACAGAAAGGCAGGACAAAATGGGCAGATATAATAATCAAGTGTCAAGGGCTCCTCGAATTTCTCGTGAGAGACAGTATTTTTAAAAAATCTGAACTAAACTCTCCCCTTTGAACGAAATTATCAGGGAATTTAAATTTATATCATCAGACACTTCAAACAGCTCATCTTGCCACACTTCTCCCATTCTCCAATCTCAGTTATTTTACAGTATTATTAATGAATAACAAATGACAACTCATGCAATAAACGTAAAAACAGTATGAGATATATTCTTAATATTTAATTAGAAAAAAATAAAGATTGAACAAAAGTTGAGGCTGAATAATCTGTATTAAACTAAGCTCGTTGGCAATACAGTGCCACTCGATAAGATTTATGATATATTTGAATTACTTATATCGAATTTTGGGATTTATGTAATTTGACTAAAAATAAATATTACGACATGTTACACAGGATAAATTCAACGGAAAACAATAATCGTGTTTTCTTATGGTGGATTACAAACTATTTCGGGGCTTATGGGTAATTAATGTTACGTCTTCACCGCGGTGTCTCGATAAATATGTCTAGAATAGGCACAGTAAATGTATTCATCCATAGTATATTGATTTTTTTTTAATTCAGCGAGTGGTTTAATCGCCTTTTAGAGCTGTTGGCTACCAGGGAACGAGCTGTGCACAGAAATCTGGAAAACTTCTCCATTTTTTCTTTTATTCACTTTTCTTTTATTGTTCACAATGCATTCATGGACTACAAGAAATGACATTGAATCTGTTCAGCCGATTCAAGACGTTAATTTCAGCGATTAGTGGACTTAAAATGAGGGGAAATATGAGTCCAGTGACTGGTGTAACTAATTGCTCCCTCATCCTCGGGGGATTAACGTCGCGTAGAAAGATTATGGGATTTGTGGCGAGTGTGCGCGTTGCGAACAAATCATTGCTAAGAATATGAATTTTTTAAATGTTTTACAGGTATCAAAAAAATTTTTACAGTGAATTCATCTAGTCTCAATAATGCTCTAAAGGTTTAGAAACTTTGTACAACTAGAGTACGTGAGTGGAGATATTTTTTCATCGATGAAGTATCGATTTTGGGGTTTAGGTCATGGTAGGATCGAGTTAATCTGAGCTGTTGACATTCGGTGCCGAGAATTTCTCCAATTTCGATTAAACTGGGTGGAAGAAAGAAGCTGTCAGTTATTTGAATTTCTACTTAACTCCATTCACGTTTTATTATTTATCTTTTTTTTTGTATTTTCTCGTTTTTCTAGCAAAACTCTATATGGCGTTGAATTAAATCTAAGAGAGATGACTGCGTTATTTTACAAAAATCGAGTCTGAAAAATTTTCCATTGTGCAAAAAATAATGAATGATAAATGATGGATTTAACAAAATTGCAAAGTTTAGAAAAATCTCTCGAGTAAATTTTCTAATGAAAGAGTAAGAACTTCCTCACACATTTACATAGTTCCCTGATACCAGCGCACTTCTGACATCATTCAGTACAAATTTTTGTAGTTATCTTCGTTTTCTAGTATACATTGTGGGTTCTTTTTATATTTTAATTTCCTTCGCTATTGATTTTTCGGTTTTTCCTTAACTACAAGCCTATGCAACTTACTTACTATAACTTCCGTCTTTTATGCCAAAATGTTTTGTTTTATCTTCACAAAGGTGACGTTGAGTCGATTATCAACGATTATGGTTTGATATTTTTTTTCGGGGTATTCAGTGAGGCGACGCTGGCTACCTCTTGAAGCAAAAGTTTCTCTCACTTAGCAGTAGAAATCTGTTTTTAAAAAATCCCCACTGAATTAATAAACGAATTCATTTCAAAATGAGCACTTGTTCACAATCATGATGAATATTATTTTTTTACCTAACATTCTTCACAGACACCGTTCATTAGAGGTAAAATGCCAAGCTTAGGACAGATCTGCAATAAACGAAATCCATGAGAGAATTAAATAATGAATGAATATCCACAGTCCGGAAAAATAAAAAATTGAAAATGGAAAACTCACAACTTGGGGCAGCTGCCGATTCAAATCTCTTCTGTATCTGATCGTATGTAAACTTAACAAAAGCATCATATTGCTCCGACAACTTCATGTTCAATATCTGATCATACTCTTCCCTAATTTGAGTCTCCTGCTCCTTCAGCATTCGCTCGCAGATAAGGCCAACCTGAAGCAATTAAGAACCCATTGCCATCGATCATAAATCTCCAAAAATCATTATAAAGTCTTCAAGTCGTTTAAACTTTCCAGAATGATGATAAAACCATGAGGATTACAGCCCTTCAAAAAGTTTCTAGAATTTGTCAAAAGGACTGAGAACAATGAAAAAATAATCGCAAGCTTCCACCCCAAACCCCTCACCTGTCTGAACGTGAATAGTGGCTTTTCCTTGCCACTGTGACTCTGGCTATATCCGCTAGCACCACATCCAGCTGGACTCGCTGGTCCCTCCATATCAGACGAGTCACCGCTGCTGCCATTGCCACCCTGTGGATTGAAGTGCAGCTGTTTGCGTCTGTGCAATCGGCGAATTTCCTCCCTGATGTTGGCAGCCATTTTCTCTGCATCAACCCCAAAAAGCAAATTAAAAACTCAACCCCGAAAGCTCAACCCCACCTTTCAAATTCCTCCCCAACGCCCCTTGAAAGAAATGAAATAAATACAAAACGATATGAAAAAAAAAAATCCTTTGTCCCCAGAATCTGCTGTTGCATCGCCCCAGTGCATCCACTTCCTCCATCGAAACTCCCGACCCCATGGAAATTCAAATTTCCCCATTATCAAGCGGCCAAGAGGAGAAAAAAAGGCCCAAAGGTCCCACGTCCGTTACGACATTACCATATGATTTACGCGTGTGTAAATCGACTCCTCCCCCACTTCGTCCGAGGGACGCCGAGAATCATCGGCCAGTGACGCCCTAAATACGAGTTTTAAATCCTCTGGAGTCCCCTCCCCCCACCCTTTATCCACCAGAGACTGGAGAATGCCTCGTGTAAAATTTCATCCAGAAAAATGGAGAAAAAAGATAAAAAAAAAAGAAACATGGCGTTAGCCGATAACAATTACCAGGCGTCAATTTAGCAGCAACTTCACCGAATGGCGATGGATTCTGTTGTCTTGGTGATTGGCTCGATGTACCTGGTGATACGCACATAGGAACGCATCTTCTCCGTTTGCTGGGTCTGCCATGGCTGTGAACGGGATCGAATTCAAGGGATCTCTTGAGGGTGGCGCAGGCCATATCCAAATACTCCTCGAGTTAACACGAAACGAAAATCCACAAGGCGCTGTCTGTCCCCTTCCTCTCCCTCTGGCACTTTTTATTATCGTCTTTCCTCTTTTCCTTGCAATTGCTCGCAAGAAATTGCACAGATTTTATTGCAAATTGTTGGGGGGATGGTTCTGGAGGCTTTGATGGTGGATGGGATAACGAACTGCGGGGCTTTACCCCAAAACAAACACCGCGGTAAAGCAATATGGCAGATATTCACACGGGGTCCGCAGCTCTCACGTATCGAGGTGAACCTCTCAGATACCAACCACACTCTCCCTCTTGGAGTGTCTCCTCAACGGTGCTTTTCCGTTTTTTTTTTTCGTCCTATGGGGGGGGCTCGATCACCAAAAGACGAGCGCCATTGGCTGGCCGTTGGGGGGGAGCCCTTCGGGGTACTTCGGGTGAACGCCAGGGGGCGGGGGGTTTTAAATCTTGGAACGCGCGACTGTCGACATTCTCAACCCCGTCCCCTACCTTATTCACGGGTAGGACCTCTGATTTAGTTCCGTAGCCGCCGCTGCGGCCAAAGAGGATTGACTAAAGTAGAGTTGTATCGTAGCTGCTGGGGTCACTCAAACCCCCACAACTGAGTCTCTACTTTAGTTCATCCTCTTTGATTTAACCTTTGCCAAAAATGCTGCTGATCTTCTCTATAATGTGAAATGTGGGTTACCCGAGAAAATATTTCCCGTGGAAAAGCTACAGGTGATGGAAAACCTCATTTTATTCAACGGAATTTGAGATTATATGACTCCTCATCAAATAAATCCAATTCTCCAAAATATCTGCAAAAAATAAATTATACACACAGTCATAAATGAGACTGAGATATTTTCGAGCATATGTCATTTCTCGTGTGACCTTCACAAAATGTACTGACTGTTTTCTTTTTTGTTGACAGGTAAATCCATGACCTCGACATGATTATTTTCACAATTTGTGCAGTCCCCCTGTTGCTTCTGCTGAGAATATTTTACCTAGTGCTGATTGATCGTGGAAAAATACCGAGGAGATCAAAAACCGTTAGGACGTTGATAGTCCTCGGTTCCGGGGGTCACACCACCGAGATGTTACGGATAATGAACTGCCTAGATTTATCAAAATACACTCCTAGAGTCTACATTCACGCACAGACAGATAAAATGTCTCCAGTGAAACTGGAAGCCCTGGAGAATAGTCGAAAGGACTGGAAAGCCCTGGCGATCTTCAGGAGTCGAGAAGTGGGACAGTCTTACTTAACTAGTATTTTGACAACCCTAATTGCATTTTTCCACGCAATTAAATTATTATTATCTGAATACCCTGACCTGATTCTCTGCAATGGCCCCGGCACTGGAGTCCCCCTCTGCCTCGGGGCATTTATCCTCAAGACTCTCTTCCTCAGTAGAACGAGAATTATTTTTATTGAGAGTTTTTGTAGAGTCAAGACTTTATCACTGACTGGAAAAATTCTGAACTTTTTCGCGGATCATTTGATTGTACAGTGGCCTGACCTTTGTAAAAATAACTCCAAATATGTGCATTTGATTAAATGAATTTTTTACGCAATTATCGATCTCTAAAGTTTTCTTCACCCTCTGACCCTCCAGGAATGGCTGGAGATATTGCTCCACTGACTGGACATGTGTCGTGGGAAATTTTAATAAAAAATTGCGAGGATCGTGTTTCTAATGAAATTAGAGTACACCTGGTGCCGATTTGCAGAGCTCTTCAGGCTGCCATCAAATCTAATGAGTTGAGTTTATTTATTCAATAGAAAAGAAAGAATAGAAATTCCGCGGGTGTCGGAAAATTGGTGATTGTGATGTGACTTCACTCTTCATCGTTTTTATCGGCCTTTGTATTATTTCTTCAAGGAAACTTTCGTCGGAATGGATTGAGAGGACTTTGATGCGATTGGAAGCCTGTGTAGACAGAACGTGGGAAACATTGAATACTGGACACTGGAAAGACGTAGAAGTACGACACAGGTATTGCTACACAATTTGCAGTGCACTGAAGGTACCTAATTATATGTTAATTGATTAATTAACATTGATTTTCAATTCCCAACTGTCATAATTTACTTAATTTAAAAATCGATCGGATGATATTGGTTTATAATTTGTTTTGGCAGTGTATAGTTCTAGAAATGAGTTCTAAAAATCTCGACGATTCATCGAAAATCGCTGTAACTACAAAAATGATTGAACAAGTTGATAAAGGATTGCTCTTGGGTGCTCCACTCGAGGAAATCCCTGATTTGCTTACAAAAATAGCCTCTAGATTGAACGAAGAAATCTGTCGTAAGCAAAACAACAGATTTTTATCCATGAATAATACGAAATTTTCTGAAATTCTCTTCGTTCTTCAGCTGACACATGCAAAGACCCCGGAATATTGCAATGCGACTCGAAAAATATTGTAAAAAATCTCCTCCCTGGGATGGGATGGGTGGAGCGGTTAAAAACTCCATCGATGGAGACATTTTATCGTGACATTTTCGTGAAGAAAATTCCTGCAGTATTAGAAGGTGCTAGTTAGATTTTTTTTTTAGTTGAATTTCTGCAGTGAATCTCTCACATTATTCAATAAATTATCGTTTCCAGGATGTATAGACCACTGGAGGGCTCTAACCCGCTGGAAAAATCCAAATTATCTCCTGAAAATGGGAGGAACCCGTACAGTTCCCATAGAAATAGGTTCAAAATACACAGAAGAAGACTGGTCTCAACACCTGATTACTCTCTCAGAGTTTATTAAATCACATGTCACAAAAAATAATGATAAACTCGGATATCTAGCTCAACACCAGCTGTTTGAGCAAGTAAGAACAATACTTCCTCAATAATCAGCATTAACAGGGTTATATTAACTTATTTTATTCAGATTCCAGAATTGAAAGAGGATTTCTCAATTCCCGACTACTGCAGCTTCTCAGATAATACTGAGGATAGCTTTCCTGATATTAACGCGTGGTTTGGGCCGAAGGGAACGGTCTCCCCTCTCCATTACGATCCAAAAAATAATCTTCTATGTCAGGTGAGGTAAATTAAATTATAAGTTTATCATTGAATTTTAACTTATCATAAATTCAGGTTTTTGGCTGCAAACGTGTAATACTTTATCATCCAAATGATAGCAACAATTTGTATCCATATGATACAAGATTATTGTGTAACACAGCTCAAGTGGACCCAATAAATCCTGATTATGATAATTTTCCGGATTTTAAATATGCCCGAGGAATGATGTGTTATCTTAACGAAGGAGAAATGCTGTTTATTCCACCTGGATGGTGGCACCACGTTGTAAGCCTTACGCCATGTTTTTCCATAAGTTTTTGGTGGTGATAATAAAGTTATTAAAATAAATAAATGTGTGAAAGAAAACATAATCTGAGAAGTCCTTGCGGCAGTTCTCAACAGTTCAATAGTAAATAAAAATCATAATAACTTTCAACGTTCGTAAAATACGTTATCATCTTCTACAAAAATAAAAAATAATGCTGTGTATGAATGAACGGAATGTCAAGTAAAAAAAAAATGGAGTAATTGTTATACTTAATTAGGGTAGTGGGGGAAAATCGTCGTCGATTGTTGAGTGAATCCTGCAGGTGGGGCACGATCGACTCTGATTGAACCACTCCAGGAGACACTGTTTATGGAATGTGTGTTGACACTTCAGGGTGTACGTTGGCTGATTCATCCCGGTCATCAGGGTTTCGCAGCAGATGACACACTCAGACTCCGGGGATTCCTTGGTCCAAGTAACGTCCTGGGGTTTACACCAGGGATTTTTCCTGGCGAAAGCCCCTCGGTTGAAGGATGATACTGAAAAATTAAATATTTTACAAATGAAAATTACGTGAAATTGCGAGAAATTGAGCGAAATTTATGATTCTAAATTCTCACCAGAAAGTGACGAAGAGCTCCCATCACTGGCAATCCTCCCTGCAGGGTTGATCAAATTATTTCCCGGATTCATCTGATTGACCACTTTGTTGCTCGAGGAATAATTAATTAACTGCATCTTCTGTCTCGCGCAAATTAGCTTATCGGCTTCGGCGATGATTTGCACAAGAGGGAGTCCAGTTAAGGAATTATTATGAGTGTTCCTCACACTCGAAACGCTCCACATTAAATCAAATTCGAGAACTCCAGGATGTTTGTTACGAAGAATATGCATCAGCTTATCCATGCTCTGCATTTTTGGTTTCTTGACTTCCCCAAGTTCAGTGACAGGTTCCTGATTATTCCCCATAGGCCGTGAAGTATTCGAATACTTAGAAAGCCCTGAAGGCACTGAAGGCTTTATCAACTCAGCTTTGACAGGAATATTCAAAGATTCTTCTGCTTGATTGGCACTTATACCCATTGCTGCCAACGATTTCTTAGCAGGAGGTGTTTTTGGCACATTCTGTGGAGCCTGATGAACAGGTGAAACCGAAGGAATCCCGAGAATGAAGCTAGTAATATTCTCTTCAGATTTAACTCTCTTGTCTACCGAAAGTGGTGATGACGCAACTAGAGCTGTAGATGGCACAATTGGTGGGGGCAGTACTAGATTAGGATCTCTAGCTGTCTCACTCACAATTTTTGGAGCTACATTGGCAGTTAAGGGTGCGGACACCGAAGAGGCAAGTAGCTGTAGCGATGAGACAGGAATTTGGGATTTTTCTTCAATCGGTTTTACAAACTGAACAACACTGACGACTGGACCTACCACTGGAGATGGATTCTGCGCTGTTGCTGGTACAGGAGTTTTCGAAATGGTCTCCGCAGACGTGAAATTAGTGGGAATCATTGGAACAGGTGAGGGAATTTGCACATACGTCTTAGGGACTTTGCCGTCTGGTAGTCCAACAGCTGGAGCCTGAATCTGAGAATCATCTGATATATTCACATCCAACAATTTATCACCCGACGTCACGGCAGCAAGAATTCCAGGATCTACGTCTTTCCAACTGCATGGATTATCCTGTAATTTTTTACTCGCCTGACTCCTCTCAGAGCGATCCTCACTGGATTCTGAATCAGATGATTCCCTGAGTTCCGGCAGCTCTTTCTTATTCCTTTCGGACGCCGGCAGTGCTGCGGCCGTCTCCACCTCAATAATAGTCATAGGACTGTTCACGTATTGTGAATAAGATTCCCTCTGAAAGTTTTGTCTGGGGTACGAATGTCTGGCGAAGCCTGGCTGATGAAACTGGCCCGAGGGCATCATGGGTGTGGGCAAGGGATGATAGGGACCGCATGGAAGGGATGGTGGAGTGAAACGAGGCTGTTGATACCACAAAGGAATTATTGGTGGGCCCTGAGTGAATCCAGATGGAGCCATTCCACGATAACTTACCATTACCTGCTGGAAGTGAACCTTCAGCATGTTGAAGGCTATTTCAATCAAATCTGGAATGTTTCTCTGGGGAAGATTCAGGAGGTGAAGGGCATTCATGTGGCTTTTGAAGGCTGTCTCTTCACTGAGGTTATCATTTTTTATCAAATTCTTCAGCTCCGTCTCCAGGTCTCTACGTAACTTCTCGAGCTTCTCCAGAGGCACCGTCCACTCGGTCCCGTTGGCAGCCAAGTAAGTATTCGTCGTCTGATGCACGAGATTCTGCAGTTTAGCCACAATAGCATATTGACTCTGCGTCATATCGATTTTGGAAGTGATCACTGAATTGTTGTAATTGAATTCAGAATTCAGAATATCCTTGGACATTTTTCGCTTAATTTCCTTGAATTTCTGCTGCTCTGTCTTCAAGTCGTTCATAGATGTCTTCAAATTGTCTCTAGTTTTCATCAATTCCTCGTCAAGCTGAAGGAGTCTCGTTTTTGTAGACTTCAATTCAGCTAGATTCTTCTGATTTTCAGCTTCACTCATCATCACTCTTTCTGCACTTCTCCGGAGTTCCTCGCGAGTGCTTTGTAGCTCTTTCTCCAATTCCAGAATCGTGGCCTCATATTTGGGGATTTTATCGCACGGGCAAGTCTCACATGTTATGCAGGACTGAGCATTAGCTTGCACTACAGGTCTGCTGTCCCATGGAAGCTCGTCCTGGTCATCCAGAGTCCCTTCTGACTCAGTCTCCAGGACGTAACGTTCAGTCATTTTTTTCGGCACCTGTGGACCCTTTTTTTTACCAGTCATCTGAGGAGTTTTCTTGATTTTCTGAGTGTTAACTTGTAGTTTGAACTCCTTCTGCCTTTTCTTTTTTTCCTGTTTAGCCAGTTTTTTGGTAGTGACCGCAGGGGGAGGTGGAATCATGTCCTTGACTGGATTAACCACTGGAGCTTGCTCAACCGTGACTTTCTCATCTTCCTCATCTTCCTCGAGGCGTTTAATTCCTTCGATCTCCTCGTAATCCTTTTTCACCTCATTTTTTTCTTCAACGTCTGACTTTTCCTCCCCTCTTACCTCCTCCAAATTTTTCTTCTCTTGCACTCTCAACTTCTTCACAGGCGTCTGAAAACTCAACTGTGACTCAACACAGTCTTCCGTCAGAACAGTAGTACTGCAGTCATCGTTTCCAGACTTCCCATCCTCCACGTCATCACATAAATTATCAGCAATGAGAAGAAACGGATCAGATTCCGCCACCTGAGCACTACTACCAGCAACTGGATTATCTTCAGGTTTCACTTCGACCTCGGCCTTCTTCCTCCTCTTGAGGTGGCCATTGCTGAAGTCAAACGTCTTCTTCTCCATCATCTCCTTGACCTTGAGTTCTGCTTCCCCCTCAACAAGTTCATAAGTCCCCGGCAGCAATGCTGGTATAGAAATATAATTTCCAACAGCCACGAACTTGAGAGACTGCAGTAAAAAATTCCTGACATCAACGATTCCATTGAACTCCTTTAAAATCGGCTGGAGTTCACTGCTCTCAGTCAAACTCCTCCACTGCTCCATTAAATGATCATTCTTAATGGGTCCCTTGCTCTCGATATAGGACAGAAAATACGAGAAGAGGAAAGACTTGATTCTGCTGACATTCTCACTGTCCTTTGAGAAATCCGGCTCATAGCAACTGTCGATTGTAATCTGTATGTGCTCATTTCCATAAAAAGCTTTGTTCGGTCTCCAGTCGTTATCAGGATCGATAGTGAAATTCATCTCCCTGAGGGTCATTATCTCCAGGAGTCTCGACTCGAATAATTCACGAGTGTTTTCAGCTCCCTCAATGATCTCCTCCATCCTCTGGACACTGTTGGACGCATGTAGAGCATCATAACTGATTTTGTCATTGGTCATAGGTGGCCGCATCCTGGGGATTTTCATGGTGGACTTGATCAGTTGCTTTTGCTTTCGAGTTGTTATCTTGGGTGCTGCCTGCTGCGCATGCCACTGGGATTTATCGAGAGTGGGTTCGATATCCTTCATACTCCCATCCTCTTTGTGAATCGTTATCTTCCTGATGAGACTCGGCTCATCCTCACTTCCACAATTGGGTGTGAAGCACTCCCAGTTGAGAAGTACTTCTTTGTCCGATATCTTGACAACCGACAACGCCTTCCGCACCTTCCAACAGACACAGTGGAAGTGAATCTCACAGGGATTGGTTGCATTACTGCAAGTGATTGTGACCATTCCATTGTAAGCGGGGGATTTAACGAAAATATCTCTTCCACAGAGATGATTCGGGGATATCTGTTTGCAGATTGTCATGAAACATTTGGCGTCTGGTGGGTGCCATCCAGAGCACTGCTCCTTCAGACTTGTCAGTTCTCTCGTCAATTCGTCCGTCGTAGACTCGAGAATAGCGATCTTTGACTCTGGGAGGTAACACACTGGAAAGTCCGAGCCCTCAACGACGCTCAGCCCTTTCGTTGCCATTTTATCCGCCTCGCCGAAGCAGAAGACTTTTACGTAGAATTGGGAGAGACCCAGGTAGATCATTGGGTAGATTCTGCCAAATGATGCCTCTAGATCCGTCAGCATGGATCTGGCCTCGTTCAAGTCTTGAAATCGATTCGATTGCAGCAGGCACTTGCACACCAGGTACTGGACAATTACGTCAAGACGTGAGTGCTCGTTGTTGTTCACCGGGAGTTTGCGTTTCAATGTCATGTACGATTTGTATCGGACCATAGCTGCATTGAGGTGACCGTTTGTATATTCCTCCGTTGCTCGGGCTAAGTGTCTTCTTTCCTCAGGTGTCAGGGATTTTGACAGGAGATTTGCGGCTTTGATACCATCCAGGCACTTGATTATGTTCGCGTTCACGGCGTACATCGAGGAGGTATCGAATTTGATCTTCTCGGTCGCCTGGAATTTCAACAAAGATTCTAAATTTTCCAGGAGGAGGAGGGGAATATTTATTTCGGCAATTATTCTGTCGATTATTCTGCGAAATGAGAATAGTCGAAATCGAAATATTCTGTAGTAAATGCTAATAATTATGGAATGAATGATGTTACCATGGTAGATATTTTTATCGGTCTTCGCTATTGTGCTTTTATCCAGAGTGAGTCACGGTGTGAATATGAAAAAAAAAATGAATCTCAGAATGGAATATTCAGCGTGAAATAATATTAGTGAGTACACAAAGGCGATCGTCAAGGTCAATCGACGACGCTATGAATTTTTGATCGCGACGTTGGTTTTCTCAAGGACGTGGTTCTCGACACCCTTTTTTTTACGTCGTTTTCTTTTCAATGAGACACGACCACCGGTAACTCACATTTCTGTCACTTTCTTATTGGCTCTCATACGATTTTAGAATGTTATCAATTGGCGAATTGATCGCAAAAGTTTTTCAAAATGGCTTCGTGGATCTTAAACTGGATAGCAATCGGCCGCGTTTAAGGCACCATAAAATCCTTATTTTTTTTCATCCGTAAGAGGGAGTGATGTGATCTTTCGGTTGGTTTTAGTTGATATGGCATTTAATTCAGATGTAATCTTATCACTCAACGGATAATTGCCGAGAGATAATCAGTGCCATCGATTTAACAACGATCGTCATTATCGGGGAGTCAGGATTTATTTGAGGAAATCCAGTGATTCGCTAAATAAATTTATTATTCAAGAGCAATGAATCTTCGTTAATTGCTTGATCCCTATCTGCTCTTTCCAGTTGTCAATAATTTTTTCTTGTAAATTATATCGTGAATTATCCCGTTTACCTTCCTACCTAATCCAAAATCTTATCCCACGATTTCCTGTGATATCACAAATTGCAGCATTGACAATTACTTCTGTGAATTGACGGTATTATCTGCCTCACACACGTGATAACATATTTTATACCGTATCTCTTTTATTCTTGGAAAGCGATAAATTATGTTTCGAGTGAATTCTTCGAAATAGGGAAATCCCTCAAGCCTCGTTACCTGAGAGGTAAAGAAACTTGAGAAATTCATGTTTTCCCAGTGATTTCCCTTCCCTCCATCAGATAGCAGCAGCTGTAAATTTTCTCCTCACGAATCAGTTAAATATTCCAGCACATTCTAGAACGAATTTTGTGATTAGATGTGGTGATAGTTGGTGTTAGTCCGATGCTCAATCTCCAAATAACAGATGTCAATTAATAAAAATTGTTGAAAAACCGAGGATTGTAGTGAGCAACAAGTGATTTAGTGATTAAAATAGAAGTAAATGTCATTGTTGTGTGAAAATTCTATTGTTTATTAACAAGTGGTTAATTGTTCTTTTGTTCATTCGCCCCAGCGAGGACTCGTGTATCCTTTGCATTTATCTATTGCATTTATTATTGAACTTTTCAATTGCATTTATTTACTGAATTTTTTTAATCGGAGTTGAAAAATGCAGCGACAGCATCGTCATAGGATTGATCTCTGTCAGGATATTCTCGTCCAGAAAGTTGATATTGTGAGGCTCTTCCCCAAATTGTTGGAGCATAAAATATTTTATCCGAATGACGTCAACATCCCGAGGTGGCAGGTAAGTATTGTTCACGTTTATTGTTCTTATCAACTTATTTTATACTTTCTTCGTCTCGCACTCGGATCTAAATGATCAATTATCGTTTAACCAAAATGTGTTGATATAAGTGCAAATAAAGATATAAATTTGCAGGCAAATATTGAAGCCGTCAGCACGATAACCGATATAATTACGACCATAAAAACGAGGGGACCATCTGCATTTGAAAATTTAATCAGGAGCCTGAGGGAAATTGAGCAACCTCATTTAGCGAAAATCCTATTAGCCCCAAATCTCGAGACTGCCTCGAATAATAACACCAATAATGTTCGTAATATATCCCAGAGTCTTCCACAGGATGTCCCAGGATGTGTCCCATCGAATACTGAATCGTGTAATTTACAGAATTTAGATCACACAATCCATGACTGGAACGACGAATTGTAAGTAGCAAAACCTTGTTCAGCATTTGTAATTGTTGATAATATTTTACACAGATTTTATTCTCCAAACTGTGACGATCGATATATTGACAATTTTTTTTTCATTCATTATATTGAGCTGTTTATAATTATCATTAATTATTGATACCTCCAGGGAACGTAACAGGCATTCGCGTCTAGTAATAAACGTGAGAAAATCTACAGAATTCCAAGATATGGGAGATTCTACGATCGGTAGATATCCCATGCGAAGTAAACCCCGAGGATTAGTTTTACTAATAACACTCGTGAATTATCCCCATTACACAATGACCAAAGCAAAGAGAGCGGCAGCTGAAACGGATCACAAGAATTTGCAAGAATTGTTCGAACAAATGGGTTTCCAAGTGATTCCCAAGTGGGATTTATCTGCCGGGGTGAGTGAAAGACATTAAAAAAAGTCCTTGAAAAAAATCCCACTGAATTTTTATTTATTAAAGTGCAAGATGTATTAATTTTCTCTTGGAATTCAGGCCATCAAGAGAGAAGTTTGCGCATTTTCCCAAATGCCTGAACACCGAAAAATGGATTCTTGTTTCGTTATCGTATGTGGCCATGGCGACCAATCAGCAAAGGGGGAAAGTGTTATCAAGGGTACTGATGATACTGAAAACGACAATCCTGAGCACCATATATCTCAGGCGGATATCATCAATTATTTTTCAGTGGAAAATTGTCCAGGACTGTCTCGTAAACCCAAGATTTTTATCTTTCAATGCTGCAGAGGAGAATCTTCACAGTTAGCTGTAACAGATCGCGGTGAAAATACTGTAAGGTGCAACGATAAGGTTAAATCAGATGTTAAAGATACTCCAAGTTGCGAAGGAACTAGGAACATCGCGGATATCTGTATTGTCAATGCAACAACGCCAGGTTATGTCTCATTCCGCGATAGCCTTAGTGGATCCTGGTTTGTTAAAATGTTTTGTTTGGTATTTATGAATATGGCGTGTTCATTTCACCTGCGAGATTTACTTACTAAAATTGACGAGTTAATTGCACGGATAAGAACTGATGAGAACAGGTGTCAAACTACTTGTGTGACTGAACTTGGGTTCAAGCATTTGTACATAAATCCTGGACTCTTTCCCGAGGACTCCTAGTCTTAATTTAATCATCATTAATCACTATTTACACGATCACGTCGAGGTATTTTACGTGTAATTGTAACAGATGAATTCTGTTTTTTTCTATTATCGCTCAGTGGTGTTATGCATTCTAGAGAGAATGTTAGTACAACATTTTTGATTTTTTACTCATAATTGTGTTCGCAAGAGTGATTAATTCTTCCTGGAAATGCTATCAATGGAAAATGGTGGCTCAAACAGTATTTATATTTTTTCAAATGGACTCGCCACTGTCGTAAACTGAAATGGAAAGACTTGGTTCTTTCAACTAGGTGCAACGAATAAATAGACTATTGTCGTCCTCTATCCGGACCTGAGTACATAAAATCGCAGACCAATTTTACTCAAATTAAATGTATGTTAGTGTATTAAAGGAAAATTGTTTTTATATATTTATACATTGATGAGAAAAATAAACGAATAGTATTTTAATCAGTTGTTTGTCTATTAAACTGTAAAGATATTTATTTAAGGGAAAATTCATTCTACTGCAAGAGCATCAAGAAATGGGAGGTGAATTTATAAAAGACAAACAAAATTTTCATAGTACTGAAAACCTTAAAACCAATTTATTCCAAATTCGATGGTAGTGCCACTGATATTCAATTTTCATGCATTCACCTTTCATTTTATTAATTGGATGTGTCTACACAGTATTCCGGAGGGCTGATGGGACTGGCGATGTATCAAATGAACAATTGCATCCTAACGAGACAATTGTAGAGTAAGTACGTAATAAATAAAATGACTTGAATGGATGAGAAGAGAAATTCGAAAAACAAAAACAATGAAAGTTATAAGGAGACATTTTCACAGTACTGGAACGTTCGAGTTTTTAACAGCTCTGGTCTGAAAAATTGTAAGATGGATCCGAATTTTGATGAGTGGCACTGCAATTTTCCCTCGACAATTAGGCAAACGCAATCCGAGGGAGAGGCATTAGTACAGACCCTCTGCGTTGGATGATCGTGGTCGTTTAAGTTTTTCGAGGTTTTTAATGACCAAGTCGTGGAGGGAGCAGTAACGATTGCGTATTTCAGTCATTACTAGCCAAATACTTGCGTACTCCTTATCATCGAGCTCTTCGACTGCTCGTCTGTAGTCCAAAATGTGTGGGTATTTAGCAACTTTACTCAGGATCTTCCCCCTCGACACGAAGTACCTGATTTTAACAGAAATTCGTCATTTACTTGAGGGAAAATTGATCAGGACTTTGTACACTTGCCCAATTGCTGTTAAAGTACCTGGAAATTTGATCGAAGAATCCAGCAGCCTCAGTCTCCACCGACTGGATCTCAGCTAAAGTATCTTCCTGGATTGAGACACCGAAGTTGTTTCCATCTTCGATTTTTGGAATCATGAAGGAAATCCACATTTTTAACTGAGGAAAAATATCAAGTCACGATATCAAATTAAAAATTGAGAAGATGAATAAATATTTTTTCAAGAATTGGTTGTCATGAGGTTTTTACCAAATTGGAATCTTCTAGTAGTTGTATAATGTACGGCTTAACTATGCGGATCAGTTCGCAAAGTGGTTCGTTGCAGGGTATAGGTCCAGTGGGCAAAGCCAACACCTGAGTCCCCGATGCATCATCAGCACTGTTCTCCACAGACTCTAGCTTAATTCTTTTGTGCTTGTGACCACTTTCGGAATGATTGATAACGATTGGTTCTGGAATGGGTACATTGAGCTCCTGGCGAACTTGGCTAAGATTACGGTTGCAGAAGTTGGGCGCCTCCATGAGTTCATTAAGCTTGACAATTTTCTCGGGGAATCCCTTCAGGAGCAATTGCTCTGCCTTTGTCTTCAATGAGTCCTTGTATTCTTGAACCTGAAACCAGTGCTCATCCGTCATCCTCCCATTTCCCAGAATTGGAGGATTCCAACCCGATCAATCGTGTCCACGGACACGAATCGACTAGGAGTCAGTGAAAAAATTCTCTGAGTTGGAATTATGACGAAAAAAATTTTAAAAAATCATTTGAGATTTTAATGGAAAGTTCAAATACTTGACCAAGTGATCGACATTTATTTGAATCGATCTTCATTTATCTCAAATTATCAGATTTTTCTGGCCAAGAGAGAAAATGGAGTCCCCACAGGGTGTAAGTAGACAAAAAAATTCAAAACCAGCTTAAAAATCCCACGAAGGCATTTTATCAGATAAACCCGGGACCGATACAATCTCCCAGACAAAAGCCTAAATTTATCCCTCCACATTTGACACGAATGACCCGACAAAGTGTTCCTCTGTGTCAAAAGATATTTCGCAAATATAAATCCGCAAAAATTCCAAGTACCCACGACAGACTTTCCTTCGAAAAAGGGCTAAAAAATATTTCTCGAAGAGATGCGTAAAAAATCATGGAAGCCAGGAAATTGATTAATCATCGGGTAAATTGAGGTTAGACTTGTCCTACGCAATCAATAATTCCACACTATTTTCAATCGAACAACGAAAGCATGGACGACGCAAATCCCTGGACATACGCCAGCATCTCGATAATAAAACGACAACAATTATCGGTAAATTATCAGTGTTTACCACGTTTGTAGGCAGCATCGTGAAAACACAAACAATACTGAATGCTACAGCACTGCCGATCGATGGGCAACACTAACCTGACAGAATGCTCATTCTTAACAATTAAACAAAAGCAATTCGATAATAAAAAAAACTGGGGATGAATTTATTCATGGTGAATATCAACAAATCTACCTTCTTAGCTGTTGCATCGGCCATTATATTTATATACGTAAAAAAAATGAGAAAAAATGAGAAAATATAACCGCACTAAAAAGCCTCTCTGTTGAAACGTGCAACTTCAAACAGGAAGTACCGGCCAGCAATGATGAAGTCAATTGGTGAATTAATAACACCAGTACCACCTGAAAAAAATGATCATCACTAATTAAGAATTAAGAAAAAGAGAGTTAATGATTTAGTGGTTGTCCTGGAGGAGTTATCACTTGAGAGAGAGGACATATTATTGAATGTGTCATTTGACTTGAGTGGGAGATTTGAATTCAAATTTTCGTTGTGCGATTTTAGGTGGATTCGCCAAAGTGTCAGCAAGAGGATGACCCAGAGGCTTGTATTGAAGATGACGTGGATTTATATTATCTTCCAACTGAGGTGGCAGTTCACAACACCCCAGAGGACTGCTGGCTGTCTTATTTGCACACGGTTTATGATCTGAGTGATTTGTGCAAAAATTGGCGAGATACCAGGGAGATATCACCGATAATAGCACATGCTGGGAAAGATATCAGCCACTGGTTCGATCATTCACGTGGTGATATTAAACACCACGTGGACAGAGTGACTGGTCATTCGGTTCCATTCTGTCCCCATGGACCTATACCGCATGTAGGTACCACCTCTCCAGTCTCGACTTGGAGACCGATTGATAGGTGTCCCTGGTGGCTCGATCAGAGGTACAAAAAAGGAAGGCTGACAAAAAATTCACGACCATGCAGGATCATCAATACCTTAACTGGATGTAGCGCCATAATATCAGTGAGTAGATGACTTTATCTTCTGGATTGAGAGATTGAGAAACTTTGGCATGACGTGTTGAGGTGTGGGAGATCTTGAGAGTAAATGATTCCAGAATATCTCCACGATTTTCAAAAATGTTTGATCAATCAATGTGAAATATGAAAAGAAATATAAATGATCGGTGCAGGTGTGCGAGGAGGACACTATCAGGCGAATTCAGGAGAGATTTTTGATATTCAACGCCAATGGGAGACACTATGACTGGAAATTCGAGGGTAAAGACCTGGACATGAGTAAAACCCTGACGGAAAACGGTATTCCAGACGAGCGTGAGCGTTACACAAATTGCGGATTGCCTTCAACCATCTACATTCCCAGTCTCCTGTGTTACTACAGAGATGATCCAACTCATGATGATTAGTCGATAAATGGACATGAACTCGTTCATATCACTGACACCGGTGGATAAAAAGAAAATAAACCTGGAATAGTTATTGAAAAGCAAGTTTTTCATTAGCAACAACGATGTGAAAATACGCGAGTTCGGTATGCTGGCTATTTTATTTACCTCCATTTGAAATAAAACGTGAACGTATGTTCATGTCCTCGGCTGAGGTTGACGGAACGTCGGTCAGTAATGCGTACCTTCTGTGGTATGGGATACGTTTATTCCTTTCTTTTTGTCATCAACCTTCTCGTTGGTTTTTACTATTTCTCTTGACCATCATCATCATCCTAGCTCGCCACTGGAACACGCGTCTCGAGGTCACCAGGCATTTTACCGTCATTATGAGGTATAACCACGTGACACGATACCACGACTCTGTACATCACCTACAATTAGATTCATTATATCATTCCGGTGAGAGACCTGCTCGCGGAATAAAGGGGGAGGGAAAAAGGATGACGGGAAAACACCGGGAATTTATCATTTGGATTAATGATGATAATTCGGATGATTTCCACCGAGGTACCATCGCTGGAGAGGTGTTCATTTTAACTGCGAATTAATAATTCAATTGACAACTCATTTTTTATATTCATATTTTCCGATGCTTCAGAATGTGTGGCATTCGAAAAATCTCGGTGAAAAATTCTTTCTGAATTGATTTACCGCAAGGAAATTTATTGCAAAAACAATTTATTCTTCTGGTGGATTTTCAACTATTTTTGGTTTCAATTTAGAAGACGAATTTTTTTTACGAAAGCGATTTAATATTTGAGCTGATTATAAAGCTTGGAGATTGACGGAAAAAATGGAGAATGTGCTGATCAGGTGGTAAATAATCGTAGGACTCGGTTGTGGTCATCCAGTAACTAGATACCAATCAGTGTGTTTGTTATCCTCGGAGAAATCTTCCTATTTCAAGACCCTTTTCTTCCGTATGTATTTAGCATGGTACACAGCTCGGTGCAAATCGTGTTTATCCATTGCAAGTTTAAAAGCAATATGGTTCTTGCCTCTGGGATTTCACACAACTTCTCATGCAATAAAATGCTCAGTGAACGCCTGGACGTGAACCCTTGAACCTGACGGTTAACAAGGGGTCTAGGCCAGAATTGGAGATAGAAGTTTATACGCAATGTGAACAGCGAAGGAATTTCACGTCCAAGTCTCAGTGTTCGTTCTATTTTATCGCCACCGGGGACTACCTAATCCCTAGGAATAATATCGGGTGTAATATAGACCCCAAGGATTTCCCCGGAGGAAAATTGATTTGAAAAAAATTTCTTTCCTGAGATCCCGAGAAAAAAATTACAATCAAACGGAAGGAGTTTTTTAATTCTTTGACTCCAATCTGAATGTCAAATTAAATTGTTTGAAGGGAGATTTAAAAATAAAATCACATGACTGAAGTATCTGAATTCAAAGAATATTTTCGTAAAATGATTTACACCGCTTTTGATCGTTTGAAAAAAATATGTTTCACCCTCCATGGAAGCAATTAATTCACGGTAAAAGACTTTTACTCAGAAACAAAGATGCAACCTCATAAATTCATAGCCCAAGCCAGCAATGAATTATTTTCGTGCGTTCATACGGTGTAACGGTGAATATCTGAAACGGAAGTGGTAAACTCTGATCAATCTTAAATAACCCACAACGATCAATTCAATCATGAATGAAAATTCTAGTGGACACAAGCCGTTCACTCCCGATAATTTTTCGAAGGACAACGAATTATTTAATTACGAAACAAACATTACTATTACCACTTTCCAATTATTTTTCTCTCATCCGGAGAATCACTTAGCATGCCAACATTTGAATTTAATTTCCTCCTTCGATTTTCCGAATTTTTACAAGACATTTGAAACCTTGAACAAAGTACATTCCCGACAACTTTTTCCTCATGACAATTTCCGGAAATTCCTCAGTGTTTTTTATTCAGCCACTCGTTTCTCCCTTTCCTGTCGACAATTCGTTGCAGAAGTTGCGATTTTTCAAAACGGACACGTGAATAATCCCTCGATTGAGATGAAAGGGAAATGACGATTACCACGTATCACCAGTTGTTTTAGTTCGCCCAACGAGTTCAGGTTTTACGCGGACATAACAGGAAAGATGATCGGAACTAGATAAACTCGTGAATATATCACACTAATGATTATTATTCGAGAAACTGTTTTGCGTCGGAATATCACCAAATCACTACCTCAGAGAAATAAGTTTTCCAGGAATATCTCCGAACCCAAGTCCAACACCAAATTTTTCTCTGAACCTTTTTTATAGAGTGAAATAATACCCACAGAAAACCTCATGACAAAAAATGCGCTATCTCTTTTAGATCCAGAGATATTCCCCGAAAACTCGGAAATCTTGAGACAATAAATAACACAACCCCGAGGTTGAAGAAAACAGTGAATAAATGTGAGAATAAATAAAATGATCTTCCCGTCATTAACAAGTCTTCTCATTTTTCCGAGTAATGATGGAATATTTTTTTCGGAGGAAATTAATGTGGATCTATCGACTATCGATGGGGTATTGATTAAAAGGACTAAAAGATTTGATGAAATCAGTGAGAATGTCCTTCCAGGATTGACCATAGAGACATTGACCTGAATCGATTTCCCCTGGTGATTCGTGGAAACATATCAGTGTCTTCTGTCAATGGTCAGACATGTACGCAACAAAATGACGTATATCCGCATTGAAGATTGATGGATCATTTATCAATCCAACTAGTCGTATCAAGATGCGTTAATGCAATTCTATTCTGAAACTATTGAGAGAGAAGCAGCTGAATGATCCAGATGTTCTTGGAAATGTTGTTGTGAATGTGTATAATAATTTTTCAGACTGAAATTGATTTGTTGTGGTATTGGATGCCAGAGGAATAGGAATCCTTGACACTAATATAACTTCCTAGAAACTCCAATCACTGCTGGAATACCAGGCATTGTTTAAATGATAGTTACAGTTCAAAGGAACACTGATGTGCAATTAAATGAGGGGTTTACATTGAAAATGGGTCAATTAGGATTGGATGGGTTACGCCTATTGGTGTATTACGTGCGTATTATCTTGATTAGGAGTGCATTTGTGAGACTCGAGATGTTTGCACAATTCGTCTCAGGGTTATGGGAGGTCACACGATACTGAAACAATATATCGCAATTATCTTGTGATTGTCATTGAGATTTATTATGAAAGGTGCTCACTAATTCAATTTGACCTCTGGGAATCATTCGCTCTCATTGGAAATATAAAACAGCCATTCACGGTTTTATGACCAGACATTTCGTTTTCTTTTTTTATTTTTTATTTTATTATTCAATGCAATGGTAATTATTCTGAATATCCATGACGATCAGGAAAATTATTTAATATTTTTGATTTTTAGGGAAGAATTGAAAGAAGTTAAAGAATTAATAAAAATATATCAATTCTCGCGGCATTGAAGTCACCGATTTGAACTCTTGCTTTCAATGTTTGAGTTTGAGCTTGAGTTATACTCTTGAATAATTGACTTTAATTAAATAAATTATGAATGATTCTGTGGGGAAACTATAATTAAATATCGACGAAATTCTCTGAGAATTCTACAGCAAACAAGTTCTTAGGGTCTTTCATCAATTCCTGTGAATAAATACCACCGATTTTTTTATTTCGTGAACGTAACCCAACACTTGAATCCCTCGTTTCAGCAATGCAACTCAGCATCTCCGGTATAGACCACCTAATTAACAAAGTCATACATCGAAGTTGTGGAATGCGTTCCATGAAAGTCAAGACCATTGAGTTGATTGTTGATGTAGACTTCTGTGAGAAGCGTGCCACACGATATCGTCGGTCATTGAAACCCATTCTCTCTCTCTGTCTGTTAAATGTACAATTGTCGTTAAAATGTCTCCGGGAAGTCAAGCTGGTGGATGTGACCAGTGTTTTCTTGGGCTGATGGCAGTAGCCGTAATCCATGGAATGCAAGACCGTTGGTAATGCTGTATCGCAACAATGCCTTGAATTTCAACTTCTTCTGGAGATTAAAGACGGAACTCCAACCAGTGTACCTCCAATTCCACGATCAAGGTCGTCAGTATAAAATCCCAAAGAGCATGTTATACAAAAAAATGGGGTCACACGCCGGGGAATTCACCGGAATATTTGTTACACCGCGAAATAACCATAAGTCTTGTTGTCCAAAGAATTCACTTGTTTCTGGTATATTCCCCTGTCACATTGACAGACGAGCGAAATTAAAACGCGTTTAACCGCCCCATTTTTATTCAAATAAAAAATGTTAACATGTTTTTACCCACAGCGTGCGCCACTTTGCGAATGTCCGCGTGTGGAATTGTCAGTTCAATGAGATATTTTCAATTGAGTCGGCGATTTTTTGGATTTACTCAGACGTTTAAATCGAAATCAATGAAGATTGCGGTACTCGGTGCTGGAGGAAGAACTGGTGATACTATTATTTTATTGTAAAGGTGTAATTAGAAGGATTCGTTAATTTTTTCAGGCACCACTCTCTCATTTTTCCTCAAGCATTGCTCTCTGATTGACGAACTGGCGATCTATGATGTGACACCTGTGTGTCATGTGGCCTTGGAGTTGAATCATATTGACACCAAGTGCAGGGTTGCTGCTGGTGTACCTGGGGATGAGGGTTTGAAATCCGTTCTTCAGGATTCGAAGATCGTGGTGATCACTGCGGGGCTGCAGTCACCGGATGGCAGCAATCAGAATGACATTCTCACGACAAATGCCCAGATTTTGGCATACTACGTGTTGAACGTCATCAAGCACTCGCCGAGGGTGAGTCGCACCACTGAATCTCCACCGATAATTTATTATTAAAATGATTGAACAATTTAAATATCCAAAATCAATCATGACTACGAAAAATCAGCAATTCATATTACCATTAGAATAATCATCCACGCAAAAATGAAGACAATGAATAATTAATTACCAAATGATAATTATAATTAAGTGATCAATCAGTTCAATTATCATTTAGAATTTTCATTGCTGAAAGAGTTGTCAATTGATGAATTGATATTACTGATAAAATATTGGGAAAAATAATATTAGGTGATGATTTCTATCGATTCCTGGAATAAATCATCAGGTGAACATCCAAAAATGTCTCAATCTTCCAGATTAGTGGTATTTTCAATGGGGATAAATGCTCCTCATCCCGTGGGGCTAAATAATGAGCTGAACCGAGTAACACAACTATTTGCCTTTAGCACTTGAGTGCAATGGTGAGTGGCCGGATGTGGTTGACCTTGTCTCGTTACGCGTCTTCATTAATTTAACACCCTGGTGTGATGGGGTAGAAGAGGGGTGGCAGAGGGGGTTGAAGAATGACTCGAGATGGGATTGAACAGTGAATTAACGTGAACAAAGGAGACAAGGAGGCGACAAATCCCCGGGGTTTCTTTACGAGCCCATTTTTATCGTGGATCCGGGGAGAAAGACATCTCTGAGAAATTACGTGGCTTTTTTTTTTCCACGATTCCTCACTCTTTTTTTCTGTTTTCTTTTTGCTCAGGCCATTGTGGCAGTTGCCACGAGCCCGATAAACCAACTCATCCCGATGGCTGGCGAATTGTACAAGAGATACGGAATCTTTGATTACAATCGTTTATTCGGAATTACGACACTGGACTGCGTACGTGCGAATACCTTTGCTGCTGAGATTCTGGGGTTGGAACCTGAGTGTCTCGTTGTACCTGTCATTGGTGGCTCCTGCCCAAGGACACGTATACCACTGTTCTCACAGACACAGCCCTGCAATGAATTTACCAATGTGAGTTCAGGTATTTCTCTTCATCGGGGAATTTGTGATAACTAGAGGAGAATTTATTTGTTTATTTATTTATTTTTTTTTGTGTCTTGTACGAGTTGTCGTTGACTTGATGAGTTCTTAGGAAGAAATTAGCAAGCTCACTTATGCTGTTAGAATGGCTGAGGAGGAGGTGACCAAGGAGTACAATGGAATGGAGAAGGCGTCCGTGGCAATGGGATTCGCTGCTGCTAGGTTCTGCATGTCTCTGTGCAAAGGTGAGGGAAAGTACTTTGAAGGATTCAATTGGCGATGGTAAAGGGTAACAAGTCGACCCTCTTCGGGCGAGTTCAATCCCTGAGAGGTAGTGAAATTTTTCTGAAGATCTCTTCTGCAGAAAAATCTTGTCACCGCAATTCTCGAAATATTTTCTCTTATTCGCGCATTATATTAATTATAATTAATTAATTAATTATATAAATACAGTAATTGCCAAATCATTTGTCATTTTAATTCAATTTTTTATCTCAATTGTTAATTGTTTATTCTACAAAATTATTTATAAAGTCGAATTGTCATTTTTTCATTCATCATCTCTCGCTTTGATAACTAATTTTTTTTTTTATACATATATACAAATTGAATAGCTAGGGGTAATTATTGGGAATCCCGTAATGAGGGACTGGGAGATGAGTATTTTGAGTACTTGCTATCGATTTGATTTATCTTTTATGGGTATATGGCTGACTGTTATCAGGCCTTCAAGATCAGCGTGGCGTCGTGGAATGTGCATATGTGCGTTCCTGTGTGCTACCGGAAGTGACGTACTTGACGGCGCCAGTTGAACTTGGCCCTGACGGAATCCAGAGGCATCTGGGCATCCCTCCGTTGACGAATTACGAGTGCAAATTACTCGGAGAAGCAATACCAATTATCAAGAACTCTATCAGAATCGGCGAGGTAATTATAAACTTGAGGATTTTTCCATTTTCTTTCAATTTAAATAAAAAATTAAATAAAAAAATCCACAAATTGAAATTTCAACTTAAAAAATTGAAATTCATTCATTAAATAATAATTTAAACAAATAATAATTTTTATTGGAAAATTGTTTAAGGGATATTTTCACCGGAATAATTAATCATTTAATATGAAAACCCCAATTTTCTTGGATTTTCCTCAATTCCAAGACAAATTCTTGGAAAAAAAATTCAACAAGTATTTTTAATTGGAATTGAGTTCAAGCCGTAATAATAAGAGATTCAGATGACCGTGATGGAAGTTTAAATAAATATTCAACAGTGTATCATTGGAGATAAAATATTAGGTCAAACAGACGTGTTTTTGTAACTCGAGTGAAACTGCACGCATGTGTTCTCATTATAATCAGCAATACTGAATTATTAGTAAACGCGTGCCAAAACGTGACTCCACGTTTCAAGACTAGTCTCACACCGGAGAATTGAAATGAGTGAGAGTATCCGAAGCTGCTTTGTCAGCAATTTAACTCTTTCTGTTCCAGACACTCGCTCTCGGGCCACGTGTCACTTCCACGGAAATATGCCCCACATATCACGATGACTGTGACCAAGAGATTTCTCGTAATCTTCGAATAACCAGCGTGCGTCCCTCATCATGTTCACCATCTTGAATTACAAATGACGAAATCGGAGAACACTTTAAATTTACGAAACTAATGATTCAAAAAAAGATTAAACTTTTTCTGCTGGGTATGACAAAAGATTACCAAAATATCACGTATTAAAAATAAAAATAAAAGTTCAATCACATCGCTAATAATTAATTGCTGTCATGATGTCCTGGGGTGATTCCAAGGTGGAGGTGATTTTTCCAGTTTCTCAAATGCCCGGAACTTCCTCACCAGGTGAATTTATCTCAGCCGGAACTTGCTCCATGGATGTCAAGGGCTCCAATGTATCACCGGGACTTCTCGAGGAACTCCGGCGCCTCTCTGAGGTCAATCTCTCCATTCAACCCATTAACGGCTCGACTTTATTCACGATTTAGTTTCTCCGGCGTAGTCCCGCCTTGTGCCTATAAATAACCCCCTTGTACCGATGAAAGTAAAAATAATCAGCGAAATATAAATAAAAGAGCACGAGAAATAACACACCATAATGCAACCGTGGAATTTTCATCGTCTGGCTTTCGCGGGATCGGTGATCTCATGGTTGCAATCGGCGATCTGCCACGCGTCGTCGCACCCGCGAATTACGAGGACCCACATGTGTGTTATGGGAATCTGTAGTTTGTTGGCCATCTCTTCTGGCTCATAAACATCAGCATTCCATGCACTCACGTTTCGGGTTCACCATTTTTCTTATTCCCGGGAAATAAAGACTCCTCGATAGAGGGAATTGAGGATTATGATTTTTTTTGCTGCCGTCAGACACGGGAAGATATATATCATCCTGACGGAACTGAAAGCTTTATCGTCTGCGGTGATCTCCGTTTCCGGTGGTTCGTCTCGATTTTTATTTCACTCGTCAAGAATTCTCTGGATTTTTTTTTTCTACACAGCTCCTGAGGAGATGGAATCCCTCGAGACTGAGTTGTGAGTCAAAATGGAAAATGTGGAAATATAAATGGATTTTTTAAATCGAAATCATCACGAAATCGTGAAATCGGTGATCATGAAATTCGGGGATTCCCACGGGGAAAAATTCATAGCTTTAGAATTTTCTTTGAAAAATCCATTTCTTGTATTTTTCCTGAGTTTCATTAATAATTAATGATACACTGTTCTTTGACCCATGGGTCTTGAATATTTATACGAGTATTGAGGGAAAATGGTATAGATTTCTGGGAGTAGATCGGATTACGAGATGCGGTGAGTGTTTGGGGGCGATCGACGGGGCACATTAAATTTCATTACGGGTGATTGGACTGGGTGTTACCCCTGGGGACATGAGCACTGACCCGTGTGTCCTCTGGTAGGTTCATTGTGACACGGTAGTTCGTGAGCTACTCTCTGGAGAATGAGGTTTGTGCACTTCTTCAAGGAGTGATTATCGAACGGCGAACATGGCGTGGGTGCAGGAAGAATCCGTTATGTCCATGCCGGACTGCGTAATACGGGATTGCGGGTTTTTCAGGGGTTAATTAATGTCCGGGTTGATGTTCCGTAGAATGAGTGGTACACGAAACAAAAAATTTACCCGTAAATTACAATTTCAAACTCGTTAATTTGCCATTCTGTTTTCCCAGCGATAATTCTCCCGAACAAACCCACAAAATTCGATTAATCGAAGCTCCACAATTATCGCCGATCATGAAACGATACTTTATTCACGATAATTAATTAATAATATTCATATTTAACGCTAAGGATTATTTATTTCTGTTGGGAAGTGGTAAACTGGAAGAAGTGGATTTTTTTCCAGTCCAGTATTTTGCCGATCTCTCGAAATCGAAGGGAGATAACGATTTTTTCATACATACCTTTTTTCTAGTCCTCATCTTTTTCTCCAAAAAATGTTTATTCAAAAAAACGGCTATGTTCCCGCAATTTCAAGATATTGGCCAAAAATAGGTTTTAATAAAAATACACGTTTAATAAAAAAGGCTCAACCCAATGAATTGGAAACGTCGGAATTCTTCTAGAAGAGCAATCATCCCCATAAGCCCCACGAATTTCTCACTTTCACCATTGTCTCCCGAATTTCAAAAAATTTCTCGTCATAGTTCATCTAGCCGTCCCCGTAACGAGCCCAACTGGTTTATAGTTCCTGACTATAACGAGATATCGCCGGTAGATTAAACGTAATGATTCCTCAGAGCTATCCCCCAACAATATATCGCAATTACTCATCAGTGAAAAAATATAGTTGAACGCTCGCTGTTCTATCGGCGTGGAAATTTTCCACTCGGGTCCGAGCAAAAGTTCTCCAGTCCCGGGTTTGTTAATCTCCCTGAATGGCTCACATTCCCGAGGTTGAGCTACTTCACACCTCCAGATTATGACGAAAGTGGTCTAGGCATAATGTGCACCGTCAGGATGAGATTATGGAGTTGATCTCCATCATGGAATGAGTGTTGCGTTTAAAAGTTGTTAATGCTGTGTTTGAGGGCCATTGGCGATAAGACTTTCCTATCGGTTATGCATCAATTCCTCTCGGTATCGCTCATCTTTGCTGGTATTTTCGTTTCTCAACTGAAGGTGGAATTGTCGGACCTTGCGCTGGAAGTCTCAGGATGGAAATAGGCATGGAGACGTTGAGGATAACAGGAGAATGAGGCAGGGGCACTATTATTAGAGTTATATCGCAGTAGGAAGCCTGTCTTATCCGTCTTTCTGCTGGTTATAATCCTTCTTCTAGGCCTTCTTCATTGCCTGTGCAATGTTGGTGGAGAAGTGGGGGCCAATGGTATCGTGAATCTTCACCGTTGGCACTAGCTGGATACCTGGTAGGCCGGGGGGACTGGAGTTGCTCCTGGCGATGATGATTTTATCGCCGTCATCGTGGAACATCGATGATTTGACTATTTATCATTAGGGCGTGTGGCGGTTGGATGGGATAATTATTTATCTCAATGTTCAGGAATTGAAGTAGAAACAGGAATAGGATTGGTGTAGACTCTCGGAAACTTGGCACGTCTTAAATTAATAATTGGCTGTAAATATGAAAAATAAGTTATAGACAATCGAATTTTGTCCGCCGACTCACATAAGGGACTCGATCAATTCTGACGTTCATACATTTTACTCTTACCCAGAATTTACGACTTTCTCGCCTTCTCCAAACTCCTTTATTCCTTCCCTCCACTCTTACATATCCTCAGCGACTCGGGACGAGTTTTATATACAAGGCAATTCCACAGTTTAAAAATCCTGGGGTATTACAATGGGTGTTTCACGTAGGATTTCAAGTGTCTGACTTGTTAGAATAAATCATCGAAACACCGAAAGAACATTCGACCTTGAATTCCTCATTTTACTCCTCTCACTTTTGCTCGGTGTATAAAAATTATGTCAGTATCTCTCAATAAATTTAACGCCTTGAAAGTAGGCTCGACTCATTTCACCTCGCCTCGACGAATAAAAAATTATTCTCAAATCAAGAGGCCCATCAACTTTTCAGACAGGAGAGATCATTGTTCCCAATCGGGACTCTCAAGTACTCCGATCCCTTCTACCTCAAATTCTATAATTGAATTTGAATATTAAAACGTCAAGTGATGATTAAATTGTAATCAATTATCATGATTTGTCATTCTAAATCATTCTCATTGCGCAATTCGATGCAAAAATGCTGAAACAATTCGACTATTTGAGAGATTGAAAAAAAAAATTAAATGTCAACTATTTGTTATACGTAGTAATTGAAATGAATTGAAAGTGACGGTTTGATAAGTGATGATGAAGTATTTATAATTGATGGAAAAATGATTTTTTTTCCGGGTGCACTCTCGTCTTCCTGAAGTCCTTGACTGTGTCCTTGAACTTGAACGAGTAACGACCCTCTTGTCTCTCGTCTCCCTCAGGTATAGGTGCACCAGTGTTTCTCGCCGAGTGGAAAAGCACCATTGGGATGGTCTTCGATGCTCACCATAGCGGAACGTCGATCCGCCAACAGATAAAATGTACACGAGTATAAGTGCGCCAATGCGTGTGTTATTCGCCTATTGGGTATATACAGTCAGAAAGTATTTTATCCACAACCAACACCAATAGATGCTACTACGATTTCCTTATATACGTTATAAATATCCACCACCTGAAATGATAAATTTAAAAAACAGAGATATCCGCGACCACAACTTTTTCTCGCCAGCAGCTTTTAAAAATGCGCGTCAATTCCTTTGAATTCTGAATTATTCATATTTAACAAAAAAATTACGGAATATATCATTTAATTTCAAATTATTCCAACTTTATTTTGTTTTTCAAATGAGAATAATTAATATTCACAATTAATATATCATTCAATCTTTCCCTAATTCCATTTTATTCCACCGAAAAACCAAAAATTACGTATTTACACAATTAAATAAAAATGTAATAAATAAAATAATGATTATTATCATAAAAAAATTATGTATACATCCCCGTATACAAAAAAGATGTACAAATATTGTATTCAAGTCCGTGAAGTAATATTTCTAACTTATTCATGGCGGAATAGATGGTTGAGAAAAAAGGTTGAATTGTTTTTTGAAAAATGAGATTTTTCAGGATTGTCTTCAAGTTGCAATGGACCCTGACCCTGGGGTTACCACACCCATGAAGACCCCCCTCATCATTTACATTTTCTACCATTG